TTGAGGTATTTCATTTCCTTGAGATCTTGATAGGTGGGTTTCTGGCCCGTCTCCCCGACGCCCAGGCGCGAGCGGATTTCTTCGCGGAGCTTCGCGACGACTTCTGGGTTGCGGGAGAGTTCGGAGAAGCAGAATGAGAGGGTTCCGGCTGTTGTGTCGCGGCCGGCGAGGAGGACGGCGACGAGTTGGTCGCGGAGGACTTGTTTGTCGCGGGTGAATCGCGCTAGGGCGTCGAGGAAGGTTTCGCGCTTCGAGAGCTTTTGTTCGAGTTCATCGGAGGAGAGAGCGAGGACGGTTTCGATATATGGTTGGATGAATTCCTCCATGATCTTCAGGTTGCGGCGGAATTCGGTGCGAGACATGAGGAAGCTGAAGACTCTGTTTTTGTGAGAATTGAGGTCAGTCAATTGAGTCATCTTCCTCTTTTTTTGATAGACTTTTCGATGACGGGGGATTTATGAACGTCGCACAAGATCTGAACGTCGCACAAGATCGATATGACTTACCCGAATCGGAAAAGCTCGGCCTGCCGCTGTTGAACATATCTGAATGCTTCAGCGAACCGCGTGGCAGGATTCTCCAGACTGTCTGTGCCTTGGCCAAGCAAGTAGTCTGTTGCAGCGTCGAGGGTATAACGGAAGAAGAGGGATCCAATATCGACTACTCGGCCCCCCTTGGGCGAAGTGCTACCTCCCAAGAGTGGGATGAGTTTCTGCACATGCTTCTCGAAGACATCGGTGTCCACGATGCGATCGCGGGAAAACATAGGGCGGATAAGCTTGCGAGAGTTGGACCAGAGTTCTCCATCTGTGGCGAAGATACTATCGCCGAGAAATTCCTTCCAGTCGCGATGGAAGGGCTCACCTTTGCCATAATCGGCGAATTGGCCCGTCAGAAGAGCTTTGATATTCTCTGGATCTTTGGTCATGACCGCGCGAGTGGAGACACCTGCATCAAGCTCGGCAGTCTTGCAGTTTCGCAGACCCCCTGCGGAGGTGATTGAAGCATCCCAGAATTCGATATCCTTATGGATCAGATTGGCTTGTTGACCCTTGTAAATGAAGTCGAGAGCTGGTGAGAATGGTGAGCTAATCTGTATCAAATCAAATCTAGCTGATGAGTTGAACAGATGACGTACCATAAGGCAGACGAAACGCAATCTTGGGAGCTCGAGCCCCAAGACGAGAGATCTGAGCGGAGACCTGGAGCTTACGGACAATGAGAACAGCAACGAAGAGCGACACGGTCCAGAGAAATGCCTGTCCGGGCATCTTGCCCGTCAAGAGGTCCTCAATCATGGTGGGTTCTAGGTGCCCTTGTCACCTTGGGCGTCCTGAAAGGGGTCGGCAGTTTGCTTAAAGAGCTTTTCTAGGACTCAAAGGGCGCGTCCAACAATTGTCTTAGCGGTGTTTTCTTACGGCAACGCGAAGGAGGGGTAGCCTCAGTATTTAAAGGAGGTGACTCGAAGTAAGGTTGGGTGGATTCGTTGGAGCCCTTGGGATGAGACGGCATGGGCCCAGTTCTCCCCGGATAAAAGAGCAACACGGGGGGGTCCACCGGATGTGCACTCGCCCTATGGCGGCATTGGTATATCTCCCCACAAAGCTAAAGTTCAGTGGCTTCTTCGAGGTATCCTTGCGAGGTGCTTGCGAGCCCCGCCGGATGACTTCATCTACTTGGGATAGCGCGACACCCCTCCATTCGAGGTAGTGTCAGAATCAGGCCTCCCTCGATCTACTGGTCCCCATCTCAATTAACGCAACGCCTTATTGTGGATCTCCCCCAGATTATCTCACGGCCTCGTCAACGGTCCAGCAATCCGGGGGAAATATCTCATAGCCGTATCCATGTCCGTGTCCGTGTCCGCGTATAATTTATGGAATATGTGGAGAACGACCTCGGCTAGCCGGTTTCACATGGGGTGATTCTCGTGCGGAGATCAGCATCATTGCTTTTGGCCAAGCAATACATAGTTTGTGCAGGTGCCTACTATTGCCAGTGACCACCCAACATTGCAGAATAGTTATGTAGTGTACACAAAGTACGCACCATTAGAGCGGCTCCAGCGTGATCCCGCGGTCCAGGTGCCTGAGAGGCTTGCAGCTACTGTGGAGACGTGTCGGAAAATCATCCATGTCGGACATGTCCACGAGAATACCCTGCATACTGTTTAACTCAGAGTCGATCATAACTGCAGTTTCAAGTTCTTTGTGTGAAAGACAATTTGATTACTTGAACCTTGGATGTTTGGAGGTCAGGAGGGCCCTCTAGGGGAAAAGTACTAGTATACTTCTTGTACTGTACTACCTAGGTAGGCATACAACATCCAAGTTCCAAGCCTGAGGTTACTAGTAGTTGAAAGAAACAAAACAAAAACCTTCCAAGTTGAAATATCTCGATATTTTTCATGATACTGAGATAGTATACTTTACTACATCCAACCTGGTAGTACCTGTTGCTAATACTGCAACGACTAAAAATATTAATATATAATGGTTTTCCAACTTGAAGGCTTCAAGTTTCAGCAGCCCCATAAAAACTTGAAAATCAACCAAGATCAAGAGGGGAAACCAACAAACAATACCATAGATGCCAAATTTCTTTGGATCCCTTGTTTATCCCTTGGTGTCAGCTAAAAAATGGAGTTGGAGTGTTTCAAGGCATACAACGAACAAACAAGGAGCCGCTTCAAGTTCCGCTTTGGGCGATGTTGTTGTTTGCACCCTTTGTACCGCCCACGTGACACAAACTGGCGCATTTCCAAATTCGTCCTCCTCCGACATTGAAGCTTTCATTGTCGCGTCAACCTTTTAACGAAGATTTGAATCGCCTTTCGACCAGATCGCCACCCAAGTCCAATTATCTCCAGTGTATTAAAGCGCACGAATTTTCCTTTCTCACAATCCTTCGGCCATTCCTCACACCATCCCGGCCGAAGAACCGTTTCATCTCGGTGGCGCAAAGCATCAACCGCCGTTGATAACTTCTTGCCCCGACCGATTCCTACCTACACACCTTCGCATCTTATCTTCGCCCAACATGGATGTTCTCCCGACCATCACTCAAGACTCGCCCCTCGCGGCGGCTGTTGCCAACGTCATCCAGCCTAAGCTGGTCGAGATGGGCTGGAGTACAGATGACGGCCAAGAGTCTGCTTTGATCGAATATATCGTGCTCATGCTCATTAATGGCAAGTCACAAGAACAGCTCGCCAATGAGCTTTCAAACGATTTCTTGGGCCTGGACGAAGGCGACACACAAGCTCTCGAGTTTTCAAATTGGCTTTTCGGTCAGGTTCAACTGCTGAACCAGCAGATTAATAGAGGACCAGGCATGGGATCGAACGGTATCGCCGAGAGCCAGCAAAGCGCTCCCGCAGGTCTGAACCCCGAGGCGCCTGGATTCCAGATGAATGGAGATGCCGAGATGGGTGATGCGGGCGACTCAGTGTAAGTACTTATTCTCGGATCCATTGATCCTTTCTACCTTATGACCACAATGCTGACTATTTCTAACAGACCAACCGGACCGAAAGCGATGCGCGGTGGACGAGGCGGTAGAGGGCGGATGCTGAACCAAATTAACCGCAATCTGGATCGAAATGACTCCGCGCTTCACCGTGTTCATGGAAACCAAGGAAATGGTCGCATCGGTGGTCACGCTCGAGGCCAAATGAAGGGTGCTAGAAATAATATGGGTCGTGGTGGTCGGCAAATGGGCGGGAACATGGGAATGCAAGGCAACATGATGAGCCCTGAGAACCAGATGCAGCTCATGCAGATGCTGGAACAACAAGCGCAAATGATGTCCCAGCTCATGCCCGGATTCGTTCCCCCCGCCGTCAACCCGGCTTTCCAGAACGGCCAGCAAAGTCGCTCGTTGTTTGACCGTGTTCAGCGTGGTCAGCGGGGTCAACGTGGAGGTGGCAATTTCAACAAGCGCGGACAAAACCAGCACAACAAGGGTGGAGAGGCAACCGATGCCGATATGGATACAGCAATGGATGGCGCGCCAAGCACGCAAGGCGAGGCCGAGGGCGTCTGCCGCTTTAACCTCCGGTGCACACGATCCGACTGCCAGTTTGCCCACCAATCTCCCGCCGCGCCCGAGGGCACATCCGTCGATGTCTCTGACGTCTGCTCGTTTGGAGGTGCCTGCAAGAACCGAAAATGCACAGGTCGTCATCCCTCACCAGCCGTTCGATCCGTCCACCAGGCCGAAGAGATGTGCAGATTCTTCCCTCACTGCACAAACCCGCACTGCCACTTCAAGCACCCCAGCATGCCGCTCTGCAAAAACGGCGCCGACTGCAAGACCGAAGGCTGCAAATTCACCCATCTGGACACAGCCTGCAAGTTTAACCCGTGTATGAACCGCACATGTCCGTACAAGCACGCCGAAGGCCAGCGAGGTAACCTTGGCGACAAGGTTTGGACGCCGAACTCTGGAAGCCACGTTAGCGACCGCAAATTCGTCGCCAACGAGGATGGGCCAGAAGAACTTATTAAACCCGATGGCGATGACTCCCAGAATCCGGAGTTGATCGCGTGACTACGCCTCAATTGATATCCTTTGGTCACGACGCCTGCGCGGAAAATATTTTTGTGTACAATGTGAAATTGATGAATGGATGGATGGAGAGGGCGTTCATACCTTGATGATGCATTTGCTTGCCCCGCCTTTACCTGTACATAGATATCCCCTTGATCTGCTTGGAAAATAAGAATCATCCACAAGCACTGCTTGTCCTTATAGACTCGACTAAATCTTTTCTTGACGTAGCATGACTTCCAAGGTGCTCAATATAACCAAGGTCCTCAACTCGTCGGGTAGTAGGTGTCTGTACAAACCCCCACTACTTTTTTGGGCGATTTGGCACTCAGCCTTGGGGTGCCTATACTTTAGTAGTTGTAATACTATGCATAATACTTATAGCAATAACCATATAGAACATTTGGTGACCCCGAAAGTATCTCCATATTATATCATTGATGTAAAGGCTAAGGATCAGCCGATAGCTCAAGTACCTCTAGATGTGTCCCCGGTTCTTCACCCGTTGACGGCACTGGTGTCTTCGGTGACGCATTTCTCAATGGAAGTGTCGAAGTCGCCATCACATGTGTAACCTCCGAGACGAACCAATGTTTCAATGCAGCCTCTCTAAGACAGACCGCAAGTCCAAACCCGAGATTCTCTATAGCTGTAAAGGCATTTTGACACCACATGAATTTCTCTCGCCATCTGGTATTGCTGTAGACCATTGAAGCCTGAGCTATGGAGAACATCACACCCTGGGCGCCCCATATTTCCTCGGTATTCGTCAGGCAATACGGGATGCCTCGACAAGCTTCGTCTGCATAGTACCAGCAAAGCATGTAGTCCTGGTCGGTGTTTGGATCCATGGTCCTAGGGCGTCCGGCGTGCGCCATGGTGTGCATCTTGGCCTGGTATATCATTGGGTAGACGAGGCATAATGCCGTCCAGTAGAGAATATGGAGCCTGGCACTTTTTAGATCAGGGAAATGATATGCGGGACCGAAAACTGCATCTGTTGCGGGCAAATGTGCACATGTTGACTTGAAGTTTGGGTAGGGAGTGGGTTCCGAGCCAAGTGATGGCTTTATGCTGGCGAACCAGGCAGAGATATTATCTTTGTGGGAGATGCAATCTCTGAGCAGTTTCTCGCAGTATTCGAGACTACTGAGATTATTCAGCCGCTTAAAGCCGGCGAGAATGGGCTTGAATGCTGCGTATATCTCGAAGGGACCGGCAATGGGCTTGGCGGTCTCTGAGGACTTCAATGGGTCCGCCTGCAGGGCTTTGATTAGAAATATGGCAACTTGAATAGTATGATGAATAGTATGAAAAAATAAAATACTTGACATACCACTCCCAAGAGTTTTTGATGCTGATATATTGAATCGACTAGAGGGTTGTTTGGGGCATCACGATGGCATTTCCTCAAAAAGGCATTCGTTCCCTCGGAATGGGCAATCCAGGCCTCAATACCAAGGGGAGAAAATAAGGGCTGCATACAGAAGAAAGGCTGTAAGATGAGATATTGGTAATATTCAAGGAGTACTGTTTTGAGAAAGGCTCACCTCAAGTCTCTGGAAAATCACGGTTGCGTAAAGAAGTTCTTCGTTGGGGGTATTTCGGTGTATCATATTTGACATGTGTTTTATTGCAGCGTTATAGAGGGAGGTTCCATAATATATGAGCTGCTGGTCTTGCTTTATTTGGCCTAAAGCAACACAGGTCATTGCACACATTGATTTGTCCAATAATGATGTAGATGTACCGGTCCTGCTAGGGAGAGTAGCAAAGCCGGTGATCAGATGATACCATACATCAGCGCCCACGAGTCCCACTGTATCGAGGGGGAAGTAGGCGCTTAGAAAAGAAGAAAATATTTGAGAACGAGCTTCAGGGTGGGAATTGACAGGCGCGGGTAGAGGCACATTCTGGGCAATCTCCAGGGCAGACGACTGGGGTACTGCTGCTGCCGCCACCCCTGTTTGAGATGCAGCTGCTAACCGTTTTGCGGATTTATAATGGACAAAAGTTCGATCCTTGTCATATCCTGAGCAGGGAAGACCACGCTTGAGGCACCGTGCACATTCTGGTCGCTGGAGGTCGCACTGTGCTCTACATTAGCAATGCACCGTCGGCTTGAAACCCACTAGAGCGGAGGCGATATGATCTACCCACCTTGATCTTTCGGCTTCTACATGTTTGGCACCCCTTGGACTGGAAGGGAATGCCACCCATGTCTGTAAACCAATATCCGAGACTAGGGGTGGATGGAGTTAATATTTTGGTGGCGTGGAAGGTTGTCAACCATCCGAACTGTCAGCCCCACACGGCGATCTTCACTTTTCACCACGCAAACTCCGACAGGTGGTAATTACCGAAACTCACCACCATGTACGAGTATGGACACTAAATCTATTTTTGCTAGTATTGATATAGAGCCCTGAGCTAGTATCAAATTTATAGCAGATCACCACTACTCCGTAGCTTCGGCCGCTTACTACAGGGTAGCTTTTATTAACCATAATACTGTGTCAAAGTTGACATCAACCCTGTCTAGATTTGGCAATGGTTTCAAACCTCAGCACAATAATATCCAATAAGCGCGATCATGGATATATAGTTATATGGATGACTATCATAATCGTGACCAACCTCTGTCCAGAAGCTCCAAGTCTTTTTTTGAGAGGAGGTCACGTTACTACCTCAGGATAACGATTCACGGAAGCTGCCCGCCCCGACTACCCCAGAATTCCGCACGTCCTGGGACCTTCTGGGTCTTTTTTTCCCCGCCGAAATGCCCCTACCTTACGCCTCGTATGGACTTCGAGCCGGAAAGCGACCTCTTATCTCCGCAATTACCTCTCAGCGACGCGCCTACAATGTTGCTGTCGTCGGAGGTGGCATCACCGGCCTGACAGCCGCGTGGAAACTTATGCGGGACCCCAAATGCACCGGCATCACACTCTACGAAAAATCACACAAATTAGGCGGATGGATGGAATCAGAAGAAATTACTGTTGATGACGGCAAAGTGATATTTGAATATGGCCCACGCACATTGAGATGGACGAAGGCAACAGGGGAGTGCATCATGGAAATGGTTAGATTCACCACGCACGCGAATACCCTGGAAATACAAAGCCGAGGACTAACCTTTTTGCTATACAGGCAGACTCAATTGGACTGGGCGATCAATTAATCTTTACATCGAAATCATCTTCGGCGGCAATGAATCGGTACATCTACTATCCCGATCATCTCGTTCGTTTGCCTGGGCCCATCCCCGGTTTGAGCTACATGCAGAATTTGGCGATGATTTTTCGGTCATTCATTCAGGAGCCTTTGCTCAGACCACTTATTCCAGCCATTCTTTTTGAGCACATCAAGCCTGCTCGCATGCCCGACGAATGGCAGAAAGATGAATCCGTCTCGAGTTTTATTTCACGTCGTTTCAACCCCCAAGTTGCAGACAACCTTGTCTCCGCAATGATGCACGGCATTTATGCGGGAGATATTGATAAACTGAGTGCCCAAACTCTACTAGGTCCTATTCGCAATCTCGAAGGCAACGGCATTATCTATAGTATGATCATGAATGCATGGAATCGCACAAAAAGCCAGCCGATGGATGATTCCTTGATGGCTGTGGAGGGAAGAATGAAAAATTCAGGCAAGACGATCGGCCAAAGGCTTCCAGGGCTCTGCGGAATGGGTGGCTCCGCTAGTACTTTTACTTTCAAAGGTGGCATGCAACAGTTCGTCGATGGACTTGTTTCCGCCTTGAGCAAATCGGACAAAGTCAATATCAAAACCCAGGCGGACATTCGAACGATCTCACATAAGCCAGGAAATTACAGCCCTATGGAGGTGAGTTGATTTTGCCAATTCGAACTCGTCATGAAATTTCACCTGATCTCACATAAATCGCAGGTTTCTACCCCTGAAAGCCAGGAATCATACGATCATGTCATCGCCGCTATCCCCGCCCCTGCGTTGACCAAAATCCTCGCCGCACCGCCTCAATCGACGAACCACCCTGTGGTTGCAGGGCATTCTAGCCCAAGGCTGCCAAGTGATACGATCCAGAAACTCAAGTCATTCGATTATGCTACCACTGTCATGGTCGTCAATCTTTATTACTCCAACCCCAACCTTCTTTCCAGGAGTGGTTTTGGATACCTCATCCCGCGCTCCACTCCCGCTAGTGAGAACCAGGAATGTGGACTAGGCGTTATATTCGCTAGCGAGTCCAGTTCCGGCAGGGAAATAGCAGAATGCGAAGATGCCGGAGCCGGTGCATGGCGGATTAAAAGCCAACCCGTCGAACAGGACACCGCCAAGGGTACCAAACTGACTGTGATGATGGGTGGTCACTACTGGGACCATTTTAGACCCGGCGACTATCCAGACCATGAAACTGCCATCAGTATGGCATGCAACATGCTCAAGCGGCATCTTGGTATCACAGATAAACCTGCTATTGCGCGAGCCCGACTGCAACAGGATGCCATCCCTCAATATACTGTGGGTCACCTGGACCGCATGTATGAGCTGTCCAGGACGGTCAAGCGTGATTTCGATCAGAGACTTGTCCTTACTGGAAATTGGTACAACGGAGTCGGTGTCGGGGACTGTATCAAACAGGGCATAATGGCTGCAACATATGGTGTCGGGTACAAACTTCCACCTAGGATGACTGAATTTGCTCACACAGATCAGGATTATCATTTGGCATTTGACTGCGAGAACTGGGACATGCAAGGTGGTATACCAACAGCGCCAATCCGAATCGTGGACGTGCAACCCCGCTAATTCAAGAGGTGTGGAACGGGGCTAAAGCCCTGGATTAAAACCTCGATGCCATGGTAGTTCACAAGCTATCAATATAAGATGTAGATATACTACTATGTACGATAGAATCAGGCAAGCAGTGACAGGAGGCATGCATAGGACGAAAGCCAGAACTCGATACTGAAATAAATTCTTGATAGACAAATGTAAATTTTCGGTTGATTACTGCGCGTGAGGAGCTCAGGCACGACGCCACGATGAACGTGTGGTAACATACAACGAAAGTTATCAGATTGGGAGAAGAAGAGACGGAAGAAACTATGTACATGCGTAGGCGTGGATGCCCAAGTTGATGCCATCGGGTTGAGGCACTAGCGCTATAGCAATAGTACATAATAGTAGCCATCTGGTTCATTACACTGCGGTTCTGTTGCGCCGGTTTGGGAAAAGTGAACATGCATGGGTGATTCATTTCCGACAATGTCTCTCTAATTTTGAAACCGACTCAAGAAAAAGAAGCGTCAGATGAATCCAATGCTCAGTTTCGGGGTACCTAGGATTTCGAATCGTCGGAGTGTCGCGTATTGCCCAGTCACGCCGTTGAATATACCAGACAGTACGTCAGAAACTGCAGGTGTCGGTTGAGACTGGTCGATGTTGATTACTGACTGTAATACAAATGCCAAAAAGCACCTGCATATCTGCAGGGTGATTCAGACATGAATTTCAGTTGGTGGTAATAGCACGCTGCATATCTGCCACCGTCTAGGTCGCGTGTGACACTGATGGCGTCCTATGATGGGTGAAAATAGTGGTGCTGGGAGGCACCACATAGAAGATTGTTTGATCAAGCATTCTCCTTGCCGGAATCATCTTTTTTGTCGCCATTGGAATCGAAACCAAGGACGTCGAGCTGTCGCACAAGCTCTTGGATCTTGATGACCTTCTCCAGCTGCTCGGGGAGCAAGGCCTCACCCAGGCTCTTCTTCTCCTTCAGGTCGCGAGCTTGACGAAGCTTCTTCTTCAAGTTGCGAGCTTTCTTTTCCTTCTCGGCCTCGACGTCGACGGATTCCTGAGCAGGTTGTTCATCCTTCTTCGGGGCGGGGACACGCCAGTTCTCCGACTCAACACCCTTCTTCTCGGTGGGACTGTTCGGTGCCTCGTTCTCCTTGGTTTTACGCTTGGCTTCCCTGCGCTTGGCGTTCTTGTTGCTAGCAGCGGTCTGAGCGGTCTTGTCGTCCTCGCTGCTCACACTTTCGGCTCCCGGTACCCCACCTCTTCCACGAGTTTTCCATGCGGCGGCGGCACGGTTCTTGTAGAGCTCCACATCCTCTGGGGGTTTGTATCCCGGCTTCACTTTTATCTCGCGGCGTTTCGACCCGTCTGCTCGAAGCGAGGAGGGAATATAGCGTTCGCCAGTTGTGGCGTCGGTGGTGATACCAGAGTTGGTCGACATGGTCGAGGATGAAATGGCGGAGAGAGGAGATGGGAGAAAAGGGAGGAAGGAAGAAAGGCGAAAAAGATGATCGGATTTATTCGAATCTACCAATCTGAGTAGAAACCAGTATTTCCCCTCCGACAGAGCAATTGCCGAGAGTCCTGGAAAGGAATTCAAGGGTACAAAAAAACAAAGCACAATTGCAGTGAACGGATGGCCGGAGGGAGGCATGTGGTCGGCCAATCAGCGAGCCGGGAATTCCCGCTGCTTTTCGTCCTCAGCGAATTCAGCCAACTTCAACTCTTCAATCCCTCCGCTTGACTCCCCACCTCGTTGTCTGCACAACTCATTCACAATGGCCGGCGTAAGTCTTTCTCGAGCCTTCGATTACAATGCCTTCCTTGCAGTTTGAAATTTCTGAGCTAACTCGTTGTCGCGCGCATTACAGATCTCCAACGTTATCTACCAGCATGTCTCCCACCCCCGACTCTCGAACCCATTTCGGCGCGGTTGCAGTCGCAATTACCCCCACCTGTTTTTTCTCTCTAACCGTCGTCTCTTGTCATAATTTAGGTCCATCATTCGCAAGAATGCGGTCTTCCTGACCACCATCTTCGCCGGTGCCTTCGCTTTCGAGCTGTGCGTTACATCCAACCGAACACGCCCCCTTCCACATCACGCAACAACTTCTGACCAAACTTCTGCACAATAGCTCCTTTGACACCTTCTCCAACAAGGTTTGGGATTCCTGGAACGCCGGTGTATGTGTTTACGCTCCTCTTCTTTCCCGACTACCTCGGTCGTCCCGATCTCCCGGATCGCCCGACCATCGTACGGATATCTTGCTAACCCCATGTTCAGCGCCAATGGAAGGACATCAAGCCCCGTTACCTCGTCCAGGCCGAGGAGGAGGATGATGATTAAATCCGCCCATGATCAAATGAGGTTAATTCCTGCAGTCTATAGGTGGACTGCCAGGGGGGAAGTCGTGATGGAAAAGCGAATGGGGAATTCAATTGCCGCAGCCTTGTGATTTTATACTTATTCCAGCTGCGGGCTTGTACGCGATAGACGGAAATCTGTATTTGACTTGAATATTTTCTGGCTGCATTTGCATGTATTGTAGGCCCGTAGCGGCTGCGGTGATCGCGTTGTGGCGTTGGGGCATCAGCGAGACCGCTCCGCCGATGTCATAGGTAAAAATGCCAGTGCTCCATCCTCCATAACCCTCCTTACCCTCCTTCTCTTCTCTCCCCTCAGAGCACCACCTTTTTTCTCATCTCTCCCAACTCGATCTCCGCCTATCACTTCTCGTTTCTGCTATTCAACAAGACGATTGCTTAGTGGCAAGGTTGATCGTGTTTCTCGACCTCATCGGCCCACATCTCGCCTGTATTTCCTCCTCCCCCCCACTACGATCGTCCAGTCTAGCAGACTGAAGACACAACCATTTGACATCCTCTGACACTGCGCTCATTCTTAGTACCTGCCTAACCATTGCGGGAGGTTTTCTTTTCAACTGGTTCGAGTATCCTGGAAGATTTCGATACGCTCGGTACTCCCGATTCAGACTACCTTCCGCCTTACGGGCCAACGGCTCTCGACCTTCACACCCGTGACAGACGAGCGGCAGGTCCTCTCGATTTATATTCGACCCTCTAAGCCATGCCCATGCTCGCAGAGTGTGAAAGGATCCTCGGCGATGGTCTGTTACGACTGCCACAGCAGCACGGCTACCGATATGGCCCGCAGGCCGAGAGGGATTTGCTAGAGCTTCTTTTCCGGTCGCTCGTGGGACACAATGAGGAACTGATACACCACCTATTTCCTGATGGTGCCCCGACAGGTTCCTGGAAACTTGCCGAGTCCCAGGGTGCTCGCGAGGGAGCAGAGTACAGCGAGGCCGCGCGGGGCAAGCGATGCGGACATATTTTCCGTGCTGGCGAGGCTACCTATCGTTGTTTGACCTGCGCCTCGGACGACACTTGTGTACTGTGCAGCCGCTGCTTCGATTCGTCCGATCACTCCGGCCATCAATATCAAATTTCTCTATCTTCGGGGAACTGCGGTTGCTGTGATTGCGGTGATGACGAGGCCTGGCGATTACCGCTCTGTTGCGCGATTCATACGGACAATGACAACGAGGAAGAAAAGGAGCGCAAAAAGATTGAGCTTCCATCCGAACTCCTGTCTTCGATTCGGCTGACCATTTCCCGCGTGTTGGACTACTTCTGTGATGTCATTTCTTGCTCCCCGGAGCAATTGCGTCTGCCGAAAACCGTGGAAGGAATCAAAGCGGATGAAGAAGCTTCGCGGTTGCGTCCAAACTGGTATGGTGCCGGTGACCTAGAAGAAGAAGAACCTGAATTTGCTCTATTACTATGGAACGATGAAAAACATACCATTCGCGATGTGTCCAACCAGGTCACGCGTGCATGCCGTGAGCGCGAGAGCTTCGGTATCGCACGCGCCCATGAGACGAATGACATTGGCCGTAGTGTCATCAAGTACTCGAAGGATTTGCAGAAGCTACTCGGCGTGTCGCGCGTCATAGAACAGATAAAGGTTACGGTCACTGTGCGTTCTGCCCGAGACACGTTCCGTGAACAAATGTGTGGAACTATAGTTGAATGGCTCGCCGATATTGCCGGCTGCAGCATTCTGGAGGACAACGAAATCTTCCGACAGGCTATTTGCGAAGAACTCCTCAGTCCATGGCGGAAGGGAAGTGGCGGTTGTAATGAAGATATCGGCATGAAGGGTATCGATGACCATGAGATTGCGGAACATGCTAGACGCCGCCCTGTCCTACTTTCGCTACCAAATCACGGACAAATCGTGGTGCAGGTTAATGAAGCTGTGGATGACGGTATCGATGATGATGACGATGATGAGAATGGCCCAGACGAAGATGACGAGGACTATGTGGAGGCCCATGATGATGCAGATGACGAGGACGATGATATGGAGCTTACGCTCGCCCATCTTCAAGACCCTGGAGATGATGATGGTGATATGGATATGGACGGGACTGTCATTGACGAAGAAGAGCTGGCTCTCGCAGAGCGGATTCTGGCCGACCTAGCCCGTGGAGGACGAGCTCCTCTTCGCGCGGCAACCCAAGAGCTGGATGAGACACCAGAGCAGCAGAACCCCCCCTGAAGAGGCACCGGTGGCTGATGCGGGGAGTCAACCGCCCAACCCCAACAGCTATGTCCCTATTCCGCGAACACCTTCACACGTGGTTAGGCCTAAGCCCGGAGGAACGGAGAGCCACTGGCAAGTGCAGCCTCCGACACATGCTCCTGGGGAGAAGGTTGCTGCTTATGAAGATTTGTGGCAGCGCACCCGTCTGGATTGGCTCGTGCTCTATGATCTGAGGTTGTGGAAGAAGACTCGAACTGATCTTCGCGACCTCTATATCAGCACAGTTGTCAATGTGCCACAATTCAAGCGCATCATGGGTCTTCGTCTTTCTGCACTCTATACAGCGCTAGCTCAGCTTTATCTTATTGCAGACAGAGAGCCGGACCACTCTATTGTCAACCTTTCCCTACAACTTTTGACCACTCCGTCTATCACGGAGGAAATCGTCCTCCGCGGGAACTTCCTCACTAAAGTCATGTCTATTTTATACACCTTCTTGACCACCAGACAGGTTGAAGAACCACACGCTGTCAACCCCAATGCAACTTTAGCGTTTGATGCCGGCTCGGTCACGAACAGACGTCTCTATCATTTCTTCCTCGATCTTCGCTACCTCCTCCAGTCCGAATATGTACAGCACCGCGTTCGCACTGAGGAGCAATATCTCCCCCAATTCCTCGATCTCGTCAAACTTTCACAGGGTATTTGTCCCAATGTGCGTGCGGTGGGTGAACATGTGGAATATGAAACCGATGCCTGGATCAGCGCCTCCATTCTCATGCGCGAAATCAACCGCCTCTGTCAACAGTTCTGCGAAGCTTTCCGGAGCCCTGAGATTGACAATGGCGAGAATCTGTTACGCGCAATCAAGACTACTACTATTACTGCGGTCCTACACTCAGCTGGTGTTGAGCGCAAGCGCTTCGACCAAGCAGAAATCAAAGAAGAGATCCGATTCAAAACGTTGCAGCCATTTGACTTCGAGGTTGGTGCGTCCGGTCAAGTTCCCTGCCACCGGGTTGTCGAATTTGTTGTCGAGAAGGGATCTATTAGTTTCCACCACGCAATTCACTACACCCTGTCATGGCTGGTCGAGTGCGGTCGAGGAATCAGTAGCGACGTGATGCGTCGCACTCTCTTCGAAGCTGCAGAGGCTGCCAGAGAACATCTTCATGCTGCCAAGGTCGCCAACAACCAGTCCATCGACGATAGTCTCCTCGCCCTTGGGCCAGAAGATCTCCTTTTGATCATGATTGATTACCCGCTTAGAGTATGTGCTTGGCTTGCACAGATGAAGGCCGGTATGTGGGTTCGCAATGGACTCAGCCTTCGGCACCAGATGTCCCAGTATCGCGGTGTTTCATCTCGCAACTTCGCCTATTACCGGGATATCTTCCTTCTCCAAACTGCGTTGGTGACCTGCGACCCCAGCAGAGTCCTTGCCTCCATCGCGCATCGATTCGGAATCGTTGACTGGATGTTCCGCAATTATGTTCCCCGGCCTGGCTACGAGGATTCTCAAATCATCGACGTTGCCGAGGAGTTTGTTCATCTCCTAGTTATCCTCTTAACTGATCGAACCTCTGTCTCTGCAATTGATGACGACATTCACACGACAAAGGAAACAATCAGTCGCGACATTGCCCACGTCTTGTGCTTCAAGCCCCTGTCGTTCTCCGATCTCTCTACTCGCCTGAACGATAAGCTACAAGACTCGGATATGTTCCAAGGTGTACTAGAAGAAGTCACCCATTTCCACTTCCCCGAGGGTGTCAATGACTCTGGCAAGTTCGAGTTGAAAAAGGAGTATCTGGATCTAGTAGACCCTTATAGTACCCACTTCTCAAAGAACCAGCGCGATGAAGCGGAAAATATTTATAAGGAGTGGATGGCCAAGAAGACCGGTAAGAACGCGTCCGACATTGTCTTTGAGCCTAAGCTTCGACCCATCAGCTCTGGCGTTTTCTCCGATCTTCCTCGATTTACCGGAACTATGTTGTTTGCGCAGATTGTGCACCAATGCCTGGAATATGTGCTTGTGTCCCAACAAAGCACACCTTCCATCCCGCCCACGCGCGTGGAAACTTTCCTCCAGGTTCTATTGCATCTCATTCTTGCATCGGTGCTTGAGGATGATCCTCGGGATGGTGACATGGAAACAGAACAAGGGCGATCGTTCAACCTTCATGCTCTCACCAAGACGAGAGAGATTGCCGCTGGTAATTTGACTATTGTGGGTCTTCTTGAGAAGATCTCTGTCACAGGCGAATTTGCTTCGTGTGGACCTAAGATCCGTCATATCCTCAAGCGACTGTGGCAAAAGTCACCACGAACCTACGCGACTGCAACGGCTTCCCTAAAATTCCCCTTTGATCGCATCGATACAAACTCTCCAGCCATCGACATCGACAATGAAAAGGAAGCTAAGAGGAAACATGCTGCTGCGCGAAATGCAAAGGTCATGGCGCAATTCCAACAGCAACAGCAAAGCTTCTTGGAGAAGCAAGGCGATATCGATTGGGGTGAGGAGGAATTCAGTGACCTTGAGTCTGATGAGGCTTCTCATGAAACCAAAACCTGGAAATACCCCAGCGGTACCTGTCTCTTGTGCCAGGAGAGGTGTCAAGAAGAAACGGCTGATTCCCGACTATACGGTACTTTCGCAATGATCCAAGACAGTACAATCTTGCGACAGACCGATATCAGAGATTCAGACAGAATCCGTGAAGCCCTCAAAACTCCCGCAAGCCTTGACAGGTCTGCTGAAGACATTCGACCCTTTGGCGTTGCCGGCGAAAATCGAACCGAGATACGCCGTCTTGATTCTGCTGGTGGTACTGTTATTAGTAACAAGGTCGGATTGAGCAAAGGCTTCAACCCCCGAAATACCTTGCGAGGACCTGTGACTACAGGATGTGGTCATATTATGCATTTCTCATGCTTCGATGCCTACAACAACGCGACGCAACGACGCCAAAACCAGCAAATCGCCCGCCAACATCCCGAAAACATTGTGCTGAAGGAATTTGTTTGCCCCTTGTGCAAGGCTCTCGGCAATGCATTCCTCCCGATCATTTGGAAGGGCAAAGAAGAGTCTTACCCTGGTGCTCTAAACACTTCCTCGTCCTTTGATGAACTGATGAATACTGGACTGAAGATAGCCCTAAGTCAGTCTCAGAATTATCCCGTTCTCATGACCGAGAAGGAAAAGACATACCAACAGCCATACTCTGAATTATTCAAGGATTACCTATCGAAAACATTGGTCACTCCGCTCTCTTCCAAGATATCACAGCTGTTGTCCTCGCCTGCTTTGTCGGGTGGTGTGTCGGGTTATCTGCAATCAACTCGGTCGACTATGCCAGGTCTGTTCCCAGATACTGAGGACATGTCACCGTCAAGTCCGCTGCAACAGGCTGTGACCCCTGCTGATGGACCAATCTTTGAACTCATGAAGATTGTCAGGAGACTCAAGAGTACCATCCAAATGAACCATGTCAACTCCATATTCAGCAGCACTCCCGAGAATATGAATTCGGATGAGCTGGCCCACACAGACTCCTTGATTCGCAGCTTCGGATTGAGTATTGCGGCTGTTGAAATCGCCCAGCGTGGTGTTCAGTCGGATCCCGGGTCGACTCTGTTGGAGAGAATTCCTCCTTTGACACTGACTCATTTGCGTGTTCTAGCGGAGACTGCACTCACATATGCTGCTGTCGCATGTGTCTCTAGCAACCCGCAAAAGAGCCGCCCGAACAATGAGTACCAGGAACTGCACAGGCAAAAGATCTGCCAGTTACTTGTTGGACACCCTTGTCTTAACGGGACTCCACTTCTCAATGATGTTAGGAACATCGAACCCCTACTAGCCATGGATACATTTGTTTTCTTAGCTGAAAGCTCTATCTCCTTGCTTCCAGTTCTTCACATCGACGTTCGTCATCTCATTCAAATGTGCTATGTGGCCGAGATCGTCAAGGTCGCCGTCACTTTCATTTTGTGGCCTCTGGGGCTGAAGGAGGAGCTCTCCAAGCAGGACGAGGATGATCTGCCTGGCGCAGATGTCGCCGGCGAGGGCTATGCAGTTACCAAACACTTCTTCGATTCCATTGTGGCTGAGCTTAAGGCAAACTCCGTTGGACGCGCTGAGGGATCCTCCTTCCCCGCTGAGAGTGGCTACGTCAAGGATGGTGAAGAGTCAGCGACTCCAAATGTCATCATTGCACTCCGACGCCTCGTTTCCAATTACGCACTCACGTTCCTGCGCAAGTGCGTAATCTTGCTTCACGTCCAACATGGTGTCGATTTCCCCAACACCGGCTTCAATGACATGGATGCGCCCGAGCTGGATCGACTCACGAAGGCTCTGCACTTGCCTACCCTGGATGAAATCTTCATGTCCATCAACCCCGCGCGGACCAGCAATAACTCCTTCGATACAGTAATCTCGGGCTGGATCTTCCACTGGAACGCATCTCGCTCGGGTATTAGATTCGAAGATCACCGTCTCTGGCCCAGTCTCCCTCACCCCGCCATCTTTGAGCTCGTTGGTCTGCCTGAGCACTTTGACAGCCTCATCGAGGAGGCAAATCGTCGCCGCTGCCCCAACTCGAAGAAGGAGCTCAGCGACCCGAGCATCTGTCTTTTCTGTGGAGATATCTTCTGCTCGCAGGCAGTATGCTGCATGCACAACAAGCTGGGCGGTTGCAACCAGCATGTCCAGAAGTAAGTTATTTAATCCCAACTAAATCCTCATATATCAGATCACTGACGTATACCCCAAATTACAGGTGCGGCAAGAACATCGGTCTCTTTATCAATATCCGAAAGTGCACAGTTCTCTACCTCCACAACCAAAACGGATCCTGGCACACTGCCCCATACCTGGATCGACACGGCGAGGTTGACCCCGGCCTCCGCCGCAACCGCCAACTGATCCTCAACCAAAAGCGATACGACAAGCTTCTTCGCGACGTCTGGCTTTCACACAGTGTTCCCGCGACTATCAGCCGTAAACTGGAGTCGGAGATTAACAATGGTGGATGGGAAACGATTTAACGAATTCCATAAAAGCGGTGACAGGTTCAAGTTTTTCTTTTGATCTCGATCTGGATATATTGTATATCTGAAGGCGCCCGGAACTGGGTTACGTGCTATTTTTTTATTCTCTCATTCCAAGATTTCCCTCATTTACTTTATTTCGTCCGGGTGCCTACAAGTTTGAAAGACTCATCTCCCAAGGTCGTGGTTACTAGTTACTACTACCTAGGTACTCCATAGTATTTGTAGTGATAGCCCTTGGAGTACTATGCTCGCGCGAGTAGTATACGACCATCATGGATTCACGTACATCGTTTATTCAAGATTACAGGTAGTACTAGTACTAAGTATTATCGATCGAATCTCATCCATGAAATTAGAAACCTCTCTAGGTTTATAACTATTTCAGATACTAGGTAACGAACTACTAAGGTACGAACCTCGAGGGATATGAGGCTGGAACGGGCCGCTGTGATAACCGCTCAAGTTCTTATCGCATGACGCCAAGCCCTTTTCAAATTCGACCTCCCCCGTCCCTCTCCATACCCAACTCTGAGCTCCGAGCGAGTCCAATATCGCGACAATGAATAATGAGCAGTTTCGCCGGATGCTGGCGGCAAACTCATCCTCAAAATCAGCCGAAAAGTCCAGCACCCCAGCTCGCAATGCTGCTCCCGGCGGCGCAACCCCGGGTGGGCTCCTGGGCTCGAGAATGCGCTCCAGCATCCCCATGACCCCGTATGTCACCCCCGAGAAAAGCATTTGTACATTGTGAACTAATACTTTTTTGCACTTCCAGACGCTCAGTGACTGGAATAGACTTTGCGCGCCAACTCGCCGAGCAACGCCGCGAAACTGACGACCGACCATCCAAGCGATTCAAGTCCTCCGCCGCACCCAAGGGGAGCAAGCTTCCGGAAGGATATCAAGATCGCGCACAACAGCGCAACACCGAAGACGAGAACCCAGACGATCTTCAGAAGCGCGTCAAGGCGCTCGAGGAGATGGTGAAACTAGGCCAAATCGACCAAGCGACTTTCGACAAGCTCTGTACGGAGCTTGGCGTTGGCGGTGATGTTGGGAGCACACATATGATTAAGGGACTGGACTGGACACTCCTCAAACGAGTTAAAGCTGGCGAGGATGTCTCCAAAGCGGCCGAGAAACCGGAACCAGTATCGCAGGAGGAACCACTCTCTGCCGAAATGGCCGAAGAAGAGTTCGAGCGATTAATGGAAGAGAAGGGACTGGAGCAGACTACGGCTGCTCCGAAGGAACAGAAGGAGAAGAAAAGGGGCACTATGGCGCCTCCCCCGCCGCGCAAGAAGACTCGCGACGAGATCCTGAAAGAACTTAAGGCTAGTCGCGCCGCACCACGTCCACCGCCAGAGTCTACGCTGGGATCCCGGTTCAAGAAGCTTGGAGATGACAAGCCAGAGAAGAAGCGATTTGTGGAGGTTGCAGAGAATGGTCGACGCCGGGAGGTCTTGGTTATTACCGATGCGCAAGGCAATACCAAGCGCAAGGTGCGCTGGATTGACAAGCCGGGCGAAACAGCGCCTTCTTCTGAACTTCCTAAGTCCGAGAAGGATTCTAAGCCCTGGGGGATGGAGGTGCCCGCCGAAATTGCCGCCAAAGCTGCCGCTAATGCTACTCCCGATGACGACGACGATGACATCTTCGCAGGCGTTGGTGCGGACTACGATCCTCTTGCCGGGATCGAAGACGACGATGACTCGTCTTCAGATGAAGAAGGCGAGACCAAAGAAAAACGCGGAGAAAAGTCAGACGGAAAGGATTTAACAGAGGACGGGAAACGCCTCGAAGGCGAGAAGCAAGCCCCCAAACGAAATTATTTCAGTACCGGCACATCTGCTGCAGATATCGAAGAAGAACCAGAAGACAAGTCCAACCCTCTCATGAAAGATCCTACAATCATGGCAGCCCTGAAACGAGCAGCCGCTCTCCGACAAACATCACCCTCAGCAGAAGGGTCTGGCGAATCCAGCGAGTCCGCTCTCCGACAAAAGAAGTTTCTCGAGGAAGCACGACGACGAGACGCGATGGACGCGGCAGATATGGATATGGGATTCGGTGGAAGTCGAAACGAGGATGGCGAAGAAGAGGATGGGCCTCTCCTTGACTTTGACGATGACGGCGACGGCCAGGAAAGAGGAGGTGCTAAAAAGCGCAAGCGTGGGCCTAAGAAGAAGAAGGGTGACAAGAATAGCGTATCGGATGTGATGTCGGTCCTTGAAGGACGTAAGAAAGATTGATTTGGTAGGACATGAGATGCGCCGGGCTCTTCTTCATGAAGATAATCTCAGAGTTGGGCTTGGAGAGCTCTTCAAGATGTTCGCTATTTAAATGCAGTATATACCCTACTATCCCAGTACCTAGGTAGCCAATAAAAGGTGACCTTATAGCCAGAATAGGTACTAGTACTTCAACAAAGATCAAAGAGTATATAGCAAATGTGGGTCCGTGCGTCTATCAACTTAGCCACCTGCCTCAGGTGAGGGCCATCATCTGGAATTGTCCACGTCAATCGTTCTTTCGAACTATACCAGATGAGCGTATATCGGCCGACCTGGCCATCTCCTCTGCCCATACATTTAAACTCCAAGCTCTCATTTATATGCAACTCGTTTTCAACACTGAGTCAACCAGTCATGGTGGAGGCCAAGCGCAACGCGTCCGGGTCCAAATCCCAACATCGGAATCCACGTCCAGAAAAGAGGCCACCTCTGACGCATTTTCTGTGTCTGCCACTCGTGAATGAGGCTTCTCTCCCGCAACTTGAGACATCTGTCGCCGCATTCAAAGCGGCTTATCCGCCTGTGCCGGCCGCAGAGTTGCCTCACAGCCAAGATTCCGCAGTCCAGCAAGACATATTACGTCCGCTCATCCCCCATGGCGCCCTGCGTCCACTAGGAACTCTTCATCTGACTTTAGGTGTTATGAGTCTCCCGAAAAAAAGAGCGGCTCGATGAGGCTATTTCATTTTTCCGCTCGTTAGATCTTCGCGCTCTAATGCGTGAGGCAGAGCGTGTGGCTGGCGACTTAAGGACCAAGCAATCTTCCTCAAAGCATTCCGGCAGCGTGGATACGCCTTCTGAATCTTGTCCTGCGACCTCCAGTTACTCAAACGAATTCACGGTTTCCTTAGAGTCCCTTCATGCTTTGCCACGTGCTAAGACGGCGACGGTCCTACACGCTTCTCCCGTTGACCCCACTGGTCGCCTATATCCATTCTGCATTATGCTGCGGGATAAATTCATCGAAGCGGGATTTATTATAGGAGAGGGCGAAAAGAAGCCAGACGCGATCATCCCCGCCCCGAAGAAAGATGTTCAGCCTTCCACTACCTGCCCAGATCTAGCGACCAAGGACAATGTTTCACAACGACAGGAATCTCCCGAGGGAGACCTCGTAGTAACTCGAGAAACGAGATTGGATTCATATGCAGCAGCCCTCGCACGCAAGCCTAAACCTCGACCCTTATTACTACATGCTACACTGGTCAACACAATCTATGTCCGCGGCCGACCGAAGCCAAAACGCGGAGATGGTCCAAAACACAAGGGTGGGCCCAAGCGCATTGAATTCGATGCTAGGCATCTTCTAGCCAGATATCGAGATTACTATATCGATGAAGCTAGGACAATACCTCGCAATCTTTCAGACCTTATCCACCATGAAGAAAATGCCAGAGATTCTACAGGTCAGATCCCATTCATCTGGGCGGACAAGATCCCCATTGATTCGATCTGTATTTGTGAGATGGGTGCTAAGAAGCTTGATCTTGAAGATGCTGCGATGGCAGATCCAGCAAGTGCACGGTGGAGTGCGCGGCTGGGAGAGAAGTACACTGTCGTTGCGCAGCGGAGCATTGGATCAACCGGAGCGGCTATTAGGCCGATCAGCCAGGGGAGTGTTGATGGGGGTGTCCTGTTGCGTTGATATTGGCTACGCTATGCTTCAAATGAGGATATTGATGTTCTAATCGGCTTGATTTCTATTATTCATGCTCTTAAGTTACTAGCAATATAATTGAAGACAATACACCTCAAGCCCGCTTGAGGTGGTGGAACTAGTATAATGCCCAAACAACGGAGGCTGTGGGCGCTCCTCTTCCGAAGGTTGTTAACCTTCACGAGAGACGGGGGATCTCACCCTTCTGCAATTGACGAACTACAGATCATCATGAGTTGGCTCTTAATAGCAGAGGCATCATTACCTCACACGGCTCATTATCGTCTCCACGCCACGCTCAACAGACATCTCGGCTGCCTTGGCCTTGACAGCACTGAGCATACTGCGCTCAAAGTCATCGCGGTCACGCAGCACAGCTTCCACCCACGACAACTGGAGATCCCAATATTCGAGCTTGAAAGACTCGTAAACATCGACAATGGGCTGACCCTTGTCGGTCTCGAGCAAGCGAACCAACCAATTAACAAGTCGCCACTTCTGCTTGATCGTGGCCTCGAAAGAATCTTCGTATTTTTCAAAGAAGGCAAAGACTGTAAGGACGTCGTCCTTGAATTTCTCCGTGAAGGGATCCACGAAGCGGCGGAACTTGACGCCCCGGTTGCGAACCGAGGATAGATACCGCACGAGCAATTCATCTGAAAGTTCCTCGACCAAAATGTCCACCAATGAAGGATGTAGTACGGGCGAGTAATCGGCCATGTAATCTTCAAACGTAGAGGTGATACGCTTGATCGCGTACTCGCCGTACCATTTCGCGGTGAATAGCTCTGGGATAACAGTAGGAAGATCCACGCTAAACACGATGTCGACAAATTGTGATAGACAATGTGTGCTCAAATCGACATAGCCATCGCGTAGGGCATCTAGCTCGGAGCCGGCGCGCGTTGCCATATACTTTGGTGTCACCAAAGGCTCGATGTCGCGCTTGAACCTGGTCAAGTATCCCATCTGGCCCGTGTCTTCGTTGTCATCGATACAGGCAATCTGGTCGTTGGCCACGCCGACTAGCCAGTCCTGGAGTATTTGGACGCCCTCTGGCTGATCGTTACTGGGTGCCTTATTCTTGGCGCACTCCTCGTCAAGCAATGCCTGCCAGGCGCTCTGTCGACCCTTTAGCGCCCGGAACATGGCATCGATGACACCTTCGACCACGTCTGCTCGTTCAGAGGCTCCTGCAGCCACAACCTGCTCGTGCAGCATGCGCCACATATCTCCAATAGTCTTCGTGCGGAAGTAACCATCGGAATTGTTCTCCAGTGCGTCTGGTTGTCGCTCGATGAGTCCCTTCTTTTCAGTGTCGAAGATACGATCCATCCATTCTTCCACGGCGTTAATAATGACACTCTGCCATTGTCGGACCAATTCTGGTTCACGATCATCCAGTAGATTAGGTTGGAGGTCAGCTGGGGCCCAGCCAAGCTTCTTCATCTTCTTGTAGTATTTCTCACTCCAGTGGATGATCTTTAACAAGTTGTCTGCAGGAACCTCGGGGTCGTCAATCATCCCAACAAGGAAATCGTGCATCATTCGGTGATAGATATCGGTATATGTCTTATAGATCTTCCACTTCTTGGGAACAAGGTTTTGCATGCCTTTTTGCACTGTGAAGAGGTCGTTGAAGTACCAGCGGAAACTCTTCTCAAGGTGGTCCGGATCACCCAGGAATTCTTCTTTTGTGTTTTCGAATTGATTTTGCGCGTAGAATTCAATCGCTTGTAAGAACTTCTCTTTATAGCCCCGAACGGTCTTGGGGCCGATGTTCATAGACTTGAAGCGGCTCGCCAGGTCTTTGTGATCCTTTTGCGCCTCTTGCAAAGCACGCACTGTATCGTCGTTCTTCTCCTCATTAAGCACAACCACGGCCAGTCGAACGACCATGCTCTTATTATCTTCTTGCACCAACGGAATGATATTCATACACGCCGTACCCAGATGATCATCAAACCAGTCAATAACCGAGTCCAATCCTTGGAAGTACTCTGTCAGAGTCTCTTCGCTGCTGTTGTCCTGCGCCTTGCGAATCTGGTCCATTGCCTCATCACGGAAATCTCGCAGACGAGAGATCTGCATATGCGCCTTCAGCAGGTTTGGTTGATTCTCCAGATCATCATCATCCTCCCTTAAAAGTTCCTCGACTTCCTGGATATCCGCATTGAAATTCTCCAGCCCCTTCTTCATCATCAACGTTGCGTCGAATTGTCGTTGAATACCAGCCAGTTTATCGATCTGTGCAAAATCCTCCACACTATCCTGTGACTCCGCGCATAGCTTGTCGATGCCTTGTAGCTCATCTTTGGTCTTCAAGACTTGTCTTTGTCCCTCGGTCAAAATACCAATACTTCGCTGCACGGCTTCCAGCTGATCGCGAAGGCCCTCCCGAAGTCGGGAGTCGACGGCGGTCTTCTTTCGTTGATATTCGGCCTTCAATCCACCGATCTTGTCCAAGTCCTCCGGATGGCGCAGGAGATCCTCCAGCTTAGGCATGACTACCGTGCCATCGGTGTTGGCGCCGTTCTGCGCCATGATGACGGTGGCCTTAGCGGCAAAGGGCGGACGGTTGTGGTTGTATTCGCGATCGAATTCGGTCTTCGAGGGCGCCTCGAGCTGTTGGAAATCAATCGGCCTTGCAGCACTAATGAGAGACTGTGCACTCAAGGAGAGTTGTCAAGGAGTAGGTGTTCAATGGGGGGAATGGGCGGGTTCCCCATGTATTTCCGTCCCACTTGGACCCCAAAGTAGTTGCGGAGCTGCCAGCCCGCGGCAGAAATGCAGCTCCACGTGATACACCGCTCTGGATTTTGCGGCCCGCGCATCTGCGGATCTCGCGATGAGCAACGACAGACCAGCTGCATCCTCGCTTTCTGGGCAGACTCATACCGCAAGATTGAGTCTTTTACCAGCCAATACCTTCTCGCTTGAACACCATCCTGCCGTCCATCGGCCATTTCCGAAGCAGAGATCAATTGCAGTTCTCCGCGAACCCTTTCGAGCATCCGAAACATTCAACAGCACACCTCGGACGCATTTCAGCATACCAATTTCCTCCTCTTCGTCATTTCTCTCGAAACCCTGTCAAAATGAGCTTCTTCCGCATCACCCTTCTCCGTTCCGCCATCGGTCTTCCCCGCCGCTCGACAGATGTTCTCAAGGCCCTTGGCCTGAAAAAGCGTATGGCCACCGTTTTCCACGCCGTCTCTCCGTCTGTGGCGGGTCAGATTATGAGAGTGAAGGAGCTTGTTTCCGTGGAGGAAGTCGACCGCCGCCTGACAAAGCAGGAGGTGCATCTTCAGCGCAAGCCCGATCCTGGCTACTATGTTGAGAAGAGGGCTGAGCAGGAACGAAGCGAAGTCAATGGACTGTAAGATGGGACTTCGTATCTTGATTCGACCAAGCCTGATGGGTCGATAATCATGGCTGCGATCGATATTTTCTTTTTCCCCCTGCCATTGCTGATGTGGTTGGATACCTGGACCACGAGGGAGGTGGTCTTTTTCTTCTGTTCTATTACCTTTTTCTTTTCTTTCTGTCGAACTTTTGCATGGAGCGGGCTTTTTTCATGTCATGTACTCTACGTCCACTTATCTCGCTGACTGTACTATACCGGACACTATTTCAATATACTCAGAAGAGACAAAATATGTGCAATTTGAATTATGGATAAGTGATACAAGCGCCGACCGTTTTCGCGTGCGCAGAGAAGGCTTCATAAACATACCGCAAACGCCGCTGTGTCAACAAGTGCAAGCCAGTATTTGCTAACAAAGAGCTTGAAAGCAAGGAAATCCAGGCCAGGAGCGAGGGATCGTTAATGATATACAGTAGTCGAGTCCTTGGAAATGCTTAGGCTTTATAGAGAGTGTCGAGGAAACCCTCGGCGAGACGGCTGACAATGCTCTTGTCAGGGATACTGCCAGCAACACCGTAGAGAGCAGAGGTATCGCCACGCTTCAGGATATAGCTCTTGCCTTGACGACGGCGCTCTTCGGCCTTCTCCAGCTCCTTATCAATGACGGTTACCAAGTCAGTAGTGAGGGCATCAACGGCCTTAGCAGTAGGGAGAGTGAAGGCACAGTGCAAAGCCGCGGGGGACTGGAGTGCATTGAGGTGCCAGCCCTTGGAAGAAAGGTCATCGGCGATATCGTAGATGTCGATCGCTCCGTTCTTGCTTCGGAAGGCGACGACACTGACCATGGGGTTTCCTACGACCTCCATATGAAGCGAAATCACGGGGTGCTGACGAACAGCAGATTCAAACTTGCGAGCGGCATTGATGATCTCAGTGCAGCTGTTGATATATCCGGTCTCGCCAACATTCATCAGACTAGCCCAGCAGCCAGCGATCAAGGCACCAGGACGAGATCCAGCTACGGACGGAGAGGCGTAGACACCACCGGACCAGTCCGGGTAGATGAAGTACTGGTAGCTGCGGTAGGCCTTGCTGCGATAGAGCAGAACCGAGTTACCCTTGGGGGCGAATCCATATTTATGGGTGTCAACACTGATGCTAGTCACACCGGGTTGACGGAAGTCGAAACCACCTTCTTCCTCGTAAGGAGAGGGGAAGCCGGCCTTCTTGAGAAGTGCGACAACGAAAGATCCCAGGCAACAATCAACATGAAGGGGGATTTTGTACTTCGTAGCAAGGCGAGACAGGGCAGGAATATCATCGACAATGCCGTGGGGGAAGTTGGGAGCCGATCCAACAAGAAGAACGGTGTTGGGGTTGATCAGGCGACGGACTGCGTTGACATCGACCTTGAACTCGGGCTCAGGGCAGGGCACACGGTGCAGTTTGATCTTGAAATAATCGCAGGCCTTGATGAAAGCCGCGTGGGCTGTATCAGGAATAATCCTATGGCCAATGAGCAACTGCACGTCTACATCCACTTCAACGACAAAATCGAGACTCACATTTCGGGCTCGGTCACACCTCGCTCATAAAAGGCCTTTTGCCGGGCTCCCAGACAGGCCATAATAATAGACTCGGTACCGCCACTGGTAGTGACACCGGCGCCATCGGCAGGGCCATTGAATAAGTTGAGCACCTGCATGAAATATTAGTTAGGTCATTCAGCCATTATTGGAATTTCCAATTGATATATGCATACCATCGCAACGACTTCGGCTTCCATCTTTCGGACTCCCGGGAAGACATCCGGATGGATCGGGTTTGCGACGCCGAACTGGCCAAAAGCCTCGGCTTGAAGCTTGAGAAGATCTTCACCACCATGATACACCGCACCGCTGACACGGCCATCCTCCCAGCGGGTGTGTTCCAGACCGGCCAACTTGTTGAGTTCCTCCCGGATCTTATCTGCCGACCAACCTTCCGAGGGAGAGTCAGATAGCGATTTACGTCCGGTCCACTTTGCACAAGCTTAGATTCGAGATTGGTAATGGCAGTAGAAACCTGCTTGTCGACCTGGCCGCGGACGCCTGGGGTGCGGAGGAAGATAGAGTAGCAGAACAGACGGACGGCAACGTAGACATTGCGGATACTTCCGAAGAGACCGTAGCCGCGAAGCGAGTAGAAGGTTTTGCGCGTATATCGAAAGAGGAACAGAATGAAGACAATATTTCGTAGGCTGTTTGATTCCAGGTAGAGTCAGATCAAGATCAAAGATCAAAGATGATGATGATCGGCCGCGGGGAACGAAGGCGCGTTCGAGATACCACTTACAGGTCCAGGTTCAAGGCGGACAGATGGGCACTGGACGCCCGGCCATAGCCCAGCAGCTTGTTCTGCAAAGCGACTGGAAGCACGGAACTCATTGTATCTCTAATGATAAGAAAAGAGACAGAAAGAATACGTTGGAGAGGGACCCGGGGGAAGCGGAGAGCGGAGAGCGGAGCAGGACGTTAAGTAAGGTCCGTTCCCGTGCCGTCGTGGCGCAACCTGCCGAGGCTCTACCACATGACAGAGTGCTAGTTTACTGAATTAGGATAACAGGGACCCATGGAGTTTTGCTTTTGCAATTTAGCATATAAGTTAGCTTAGCTGAATTTAATCTTAACTTGCTATTCCAATATTCCGGGATCTCTAGGGTTTACTAGGCTCTAGGAGGTATTACCTTAACGCACGCAAAATAATACAAGTTCTTTTTAAATATCCTCGACTATATACGATGTTTTAGGGCCTGACCGAATATTACTAGTATACAATAAAGCCCTCTCCCCTCTTATTACCCACTACCCTCCTATAGTGGACGTGCCTAGCTCGCCGACTCACTGGTCGGAGTTTGCCCTCAGCTGTGCGTTCCCCTTCGAGTCTTGGTTCACATAGGCAACAAGGTGGACCTAATGTCAATCAGAGATACATCTAGATTTGAATGAAGGTAATGAAACAACTTATAAATTGCCCAAGAGGCTGCTGCGCTTATGTACAAGATAGAGAGAAACTCTCCGCAAACACCACCCCCATCACTTCTTTTTCGGGTCCCAGCAGAATCCAAAGGAAAACACTTTTATCGAAACCAGCGGAAAAGAAACATAATAGAAAAGGAAACATAAAGGAAATAAGTCCCAAGCATAAATCACATCAAATCGTCGCATCCAAATTCGAAAAGGAAAATCCCACAACGCGAAATAACGGCACACGGTCCCGGGAAAGGAGGTATAAAGCTCCCCAGTTCCGAGTCCCCCATGCTCAAAAAACAGTTATATGCAAATGATTTTTCTCACCGTCCTGTGAGAGGCAGTCTAGTTGACAGGGAGACCGGCAGCCTGGGCCTCGACAAGCTCCTTCTCCTTGGCGGCGAACTGGGCCTGCTCCTCGGGCGACAGGTCCATGAGGGGCTTGTCCTCGCCAGACTTGAGGTTACGGTGGTAAGCGCGGATGATGGAGTCGGCGTCATCGACGGCGATGGGACGGATATCAGCCAGGGCCTTGATCTTGGCAGTGCACTCCTTGCACTGAGCGTCGGTGAGGTCAATCTTGAGCTGCTGGGCACGCGACTTGATGGCGTTCCAGCCGGTCAGACGCGAGGCGAAGTGCACGTAACGGGTCATGCCGAAGTCGGCGGGGTTGATGATCTCGTAGGTGCTGGGGTTGTTCAGAATAGCCTTGGCGTGGATACCGGCCTTGTGGGTGAAGGCGCAGAATCCGGTAATGTAGTTGTTGAAGGGGATGTTGACCTCGACGGCCTCGGCGACCAGGTCCTCGATGTCCTTGAGCTTCTCGAGCTTGTACTTGCTCTTGACGTACTCGGGGTCGGCGACCATCATACGGGCCATCAGACCACCCAGAGGGGTGATACCGTTGCGCTCACCGATACCGAGGACGGAGGTATCGATGTGGGTGGCACCGGCCTCAAGGGCGCAGTAGGCGTTGGCAATGGCGCAGCCGGTGTCGTTGTGGAAGTGGGTTTCGATATCGCAGCCCACGACACCGCGGAGAACACGGACGAGCTCGTAGACTTGGCGGGGGGAGGCACAGCCGACGGTGTCGGCAATACCAACACGCTGAACACCGACCTTGTCGACGGCGGAGTAGATGGAGAGAAGATCGACCAGGTCGGAACGGAAGGAGTCCTCGCTGGAGAAACGGATCTCAATGCCCTTGGACTTGACGAATTCGATAACTTCAATGGCAGCGTTCTTAATGTAGGTCATGTCCTTGCCGTGAGAGTGCTCACGGAGGTAGGACGAGGTACCAATGACGACATCGCTGTAACCAAGTCAGTTACTCAGGTTCCTGCGTGAGTATGTTCTGTGGAGGTTGTTGGTGACTCACACTCCGTCGACACCGGTCTCAACGGCAACACGGGCATCGTCCATGTGGCAGCGAATGTGAGTGAGGATCTTAGCCTTGAGGCCGAGCTTGCAGATAGCCTCGCAATCGGCACGGGACTGCTCCGAAGCACAGGGGGAGGTAAGCTCGATCTACCCAAGCAAAGCTAGGTTAGTCTCGCGGTTTCAAGATTGGACATTCTCTGCACATTGTCTATGCAGATCAATGACTCACGTAGTCAACACCGAAGTCGTCGAGGGCACGGGCGATCTCAATCTTCTTCTCAGTGTCAAAGAAGGCATTGGCGAACTGCTCGCCCTCACGGAGGGTGCTCTCAATAATCTGGAAGCGGGAGACATTGCTCAGGAAGTCGGTCACACCGACGTTGTGGCCGTAGGGATTGCGGGTGGCGGGGTGGGGGTTCTGGCGAGTCTCAATGCCGGTGAAACCGGGGTGTTCGCCTGTAGTACAACTTTTAGAATGCCGAGTTCTTGAAAGGACATTGAGTAACTTGGGTATTCTCAAGCTAGCTCATTAGACATACCATTGGCAGCGGCTCCGTTTGCGACGGCGGGGGGGGCCATTGGCCTCGTGGTCAGCGCCGGGGCACATTGTGGATGGATATGGAGAGGTGGGGTGGAGGGGTTGAGGGAAGATGCGAAAGAGTATTCACGAAGAGACGAATTGGACCTAAAATAAGGAACCAAAAAAAGGAGTAGGGGAATATTTATGATGGAGTGAAGGAAAGAATAAGAGTCATAGTTGGTAGGACAGTGGGGTCGTTGAGTGCGTAGTAATCACGATTCCTCGTCTCGCAGGCGGCAAAAGGGAAAAAAAAATCAAAAAAATCCGCGGGTTGCCCAAGCAGGTCACAAGTGGGGAAAAACTTGAGTGGGGAGGACCAGTCTTTGCTCTTTGGCTTCTGCTCTTTTACTACTTTCTGCTTTTTTTGCTCGCCGGCTTCGCTTCCATGACTCAATTGGATCGGCATTGCTGGCACGCCCTTGGCTCCTCTTTTGCCTCTGCCTCTGCATTGCATTGCATTCCTGCCTCTGACTTGTTGACATGGGATACATACGTAGACGGAGTACAAAGTAGATTTTGCACTATTCCCCTGTCTCTTGTTACTGGTGCTCAGCTCTGCTGCAATCCATTTGATCTGCTGGCAACCGACATCGGCCTGGCGGGGTCGGGGTTAAAGTGGCACTGAATGGGCCTGCCCGGTGAATTTCTCATAGTTATTCACTCCATCACTCAATATCTCTAGGGTCCATCCAGTCTGTGGTACAGTAGCCACTCCGTACTCCGTAGTGCCTGACGTACCCCAGTTAGGGCTTATCTTGAGAGTTCTCTATGCGATCTTTAAGAGCTCGACTCTTCTACGTCATACATAGTGCTCAACCCCAAATTTGGTCTTTCTACAAAACTATGTACTATATTGCGAGGCCATGAATTAAAGAAACAGCGATAATCCAAAGATTGGTCGCATTGTGGAGCTTGATCACTCTTTATCTCTCTGTCTTCGTTACTGTACTCTAGTCAAGGTACCTTAGGTAAGGCTGGTTTTCGGAGGCGCCCGCATGTGAAGTACCGATTAGTGCAAGGTTTGCCACATGACAAAGCAATGTCGATCTAGACTGGAATTCAAGATTGGTGATCAATTGGATCAAAGAATTCGACAATTACATGCTGGACATTCACAAATGAAAATGACAAATTTCAGCATGACCTTAATGTGCATTAATCACTTCAAATCGCTTGTTGGAAGCCAGCCTCGCCGCTAGAGATCAGCCAACCATTACCCTTTTCTAGAATGCCGAATTAAACTATGTCTACCCCAGACATAAAATACTGGACTATACCCCAGGGCTTACGACTCGGTCTACAGGCACCCAACGGAATGAGAGCGGAACAATTATTGGCCACTCTCTAGGTAAGAACACCGCTTTTAATCCGAAACCAGTCTAGCCAGGGGCACGCTACGCCGGCAATTACACGATTCAGGTTGTCAGAAATGTCACCCATCAAATTAAAAAAAGCTAATAGTTCTTGAAACGCCATCTCAATATGGTGCCCGCACTGAACCCTACCAGGTATCTTCTGGAAGCCATGCCAGGCCAACCCAACTGCATTTGTTCCCGTCAAATAGCCCGTCAAATAGCCGGCCGCTCACTATGTACAACCATACCCAAAGTCGATCAAAATCTCTCTCTAGTTCGCACTGCCAGCAGGAGCAGCAGCGGGAGCGCGGTTGGCGCCGACGTTACCCATGCGACGACCCCTAAATCAGATTCGCTATTAGTATCGATGTGGAAGGGTGGGATGAAGAGTCCGTCCGCGGCGGATACACCACGAAAACGGAACGAAACTTACATGAAGGTACGGCTGAAGAAGCTGATACCGATCATGAACGCCCAGCTAGGGATGGCACCGATGCCCCAGATGAAGTAACCGAAGGGCAGGGTGAGCTGGTACTTGGCGACCCAGCCGTCGGTGGGGTGGAAAGCACCCTCGTAGGCGGGAACGTCCAGGAAGGTCTTCTTGGAGTGGATCTCGTAGAGCTCCTGGGGGGTAACGGTGGTGGTGTTCATGTAGAGAACGTGCAGGGGAGTAGGGAGGCGCTCCTGGTCAGCGGGCTGGGCCTGGGGAACCTGGTAGTAGTAGACGGAGGGGGCACCGGAGGACCAGGCAGCGCAGAGAACGCGCTCCTGCTCGCAGTCCAGCAGACCGAGGTTGGGGGCGGTAGGATCGGCAGAGAAGAGAAGGACGGATTCCTAGACGGATGGATGGATTAGCAAAGGAGTCCTCGATGGTGGTGATGATGATGCCGATGCTGACAGCGATGGTCGCGGGAAGGGAGAGTCGCGACGCGCTTGGTGCTTACCTTGAAGGCCTTCTCGGCGCGATCACAGCGACCGAAACAGGTCTTGTTGCCACCAGTGATGAAGATAAACCAGTCCTCCTCCTGGGTGCCGGGGGTCAGGATGGACTGCCAGTTCTCAAGGGTCACTGGAGTGACACTCTTCTCAGAGACAGTCTCAGCCAACTTCTCGATGGGGGCGGCGGGGACGGCGGTTGGCACGTAGGTCTTGGCCTTGTTGAACCATCCTTGAACACGGTCGGCCAGGGGGACCTGCTCCTGTGCCAGGGCGATGGCAGGAAGGAGGGCGACAAGCGAAGTGAAACGCATCTTGATGGCTACGACGCGTGTTAATGCCAGGGTAAGCGGGAGGTGGAGGGGAGATCAAGGGGATGATAAAAATGGAAGAAAACCATAAGTGAACAAAAGAGTGATACGGACCTTAATGGTAGGTTCAATACAGCGGCACCCGAGGGATAAGGAGAGAAGGGAAAGGATGGAGATTGGCAATGGCACGGAGTAATATGGCAATGGGATGGCAGTAGCATTGGCAGCTCCACGCGGATCAGGCCAGCTTGCGACTGTCGCCCGAGCCAATCACATCCCTCCCGTTGGCACGCGGGGGGGGAATCCACTTTGGAGGAGGAGCGTGACTAAGCATATTTACGGAGTAAATAACTAACTACGACGGAGTATACTTTAACTTCACATCATGTAGTACTACTACACTATTCGTGATCCCATTCTGGATTACTTCTCTCTGGTTCTGGCTCTCATTAATGTTTGTAGCGAGGAGGAGGAACATAAGCGGGCGGTGGAAGTTCGATATTGACTGAATCAGAATCTGGATCACCTGTCAGGTTGTCTCTCTCACGCCTTGGCGATTGATAACGGGGCCTATATTGCGACGCCCCGACCTGAAAATCCCCCGGGTTAAACACATGGAATGGTTGGCGAGGAGGAAGCTCTATGGATAAATCCATCATTCTCTCTATCACGGGCGTAGGCGGTGCGTGTGGACGGGGTGAAGGAGCTGGAGTCACTGGTATCGGTTGGTGATATCCCTCGAGCTCAAACAAGTTGTCTATGCAATGGCATTTGTACTTGGCAATCATTGTCCTCACTGCGATGACAGCAAAACAGAAGATCGCTACCGCGATAACAGCCCCTCCAACTGTTCTATCGTTCATTTCACGCTTTTCTATTCAGGTGGTATCAGTACCTTTCTACTATCACCACACAGGGCAGAGGTAGACGCTTCAGTCACTTACCTTGAGGGCTAATTGTGGTTATCGGCATGAGATTTCAATCAACCGATTCTCCGCCCACAAAGCTCCAGGACATCAATGTGATGAGCTGTGAGACTGGGACAAAGTGCATCTCAGTGAGTGGGGGTGCAGGCTTCTGAAGGAGCACGGCTACACTTATGCTTTCTATCTGTACGGAATGTATGATGTGTACGCGTGGTAGTGATAGAATTGATAAATTTAGTGGTATGGAAGAGAGAGAGAGAGAGAGAGGCGTGAAAGAACTTGAAGGTAACTTGGAGGTAAATTGAAGGAAGGAAGCTACCTCGGGCTAGGTATGGCCTGCTGCCTTTCAGGCTAACACTCCCCTAAGAACTGAGAGACCGGGAGAAGAACCAAAAAGTTCGAATATACTATTAACGCCGAATACATTAAAAGGAAGTAATTTAGTTTGTAGTAAGAAGAAGGTATACTCCCTATTAGTATACCTTAAGGTAGTATTAGCTACTCATAGTATAAACGAGAGAAATTACATTATCACATACTAGTAGCTTCGAAAAAGAAGTGGTTAGGATAGCCATATTTGTGGATGAACTAGTACTAGAGGGAAATATATTTTTGGAAGCTGTTCACATTCAGAAAAGCTGCTCGTCCAGTGTGCGGTTATGAAAGAAGAAAGGTGGGCGAACTGAAAGGAGGATAAACCGACAACCCGTTCAAGTTTTTTTTTTGGGAAAAAGACAAAGTTCAGATTAAAAATTCTATGACCAAATTCAATTGAAAACATCGCCTTAATACAATTCAACCCCTCAACTGACAGTGGAAAATTTGTCTGCCACTATTCTCACTTTAATGAAATCCCTTGACCTTCTTGCAAGACAATCCGCCCAATCCAGCTCCTTTCCCGATGCTGGGTAGTCTAACTCCATATCGAACCGGCTGAAGAAAAGTGCCATTGTGACGTAAATTTCCAAGTATGCTAGACTGCAATAAATGGCTGTATCAGAAATCTCCTTCCACAAAATGTGCAACACAGAGGTACTTACTTCATTCCGATACAGCTTCTCTTTCCTTTGCTGAAAGCAACATTATACCTCTCAAGTTCGGCGCTGTTCGCAGCTAGCCACCGGTCCGGATTGAAGATATCTGACTCGGGAAATATTTTCGAATTATGGTGCATCGAGTAGATTGTGCTCGATACGACGGTCTACATTTTGTCATTAGCTCTGAGGGGGTTTGGAAGAGTTGAAGTGACATACACCCCCGGGAAGAAAGGTCCCCTTGTATTCCACTCCTTCAGCGGGGACAGTTCGTGGAAGTCGTCCTGGGATAACGGTGCTCAACCGCAGTCCCTCTTTTATGACTGCACTCTGTCACGGACGTTAGTGAGACTACTAGGGATATCTCCTCGGTAAACCTACCAAATAGGGCAACTCTCGGATCGTCTTCCAATCATACCCTTCTTGAATCGAGATATCCGCATTTTGTAGCTCGTGCTGTAAGCGACTGTGAATTTCGTGGGAAGATAAGACCTTGTGGAAAGTATACATCAACATCGTAGATGTCGTATCCACGCCCGCAAATACAAAAGTATTGGACTGGTCAACTAGCCATTCGCGATCTGTTGCGCTGATATCATGGTTGGGCGAAGGGTTCAGAGCATCGATGATCGTCGATTTGCGATCTTTCACGCTGGAATTTTTGCTATTCTTCAAAGTGCCGTCGACCCACTCTCCACCTTGCTATAAAATATTGAGCGCAATCATTATGATTGGAGTGAGCCTCCTACCTCTTTGAAGTAAGTTAGTCCCGGAAGCAAAATCTTGAGCAAGGACTTTGGTATCTTGTTGATGTATTCTGCAAGATACGGAATATGGACAGCTGAAGATGAAAAAATAAATCAATTATGGTTCTGGGTCTTGCAATACTTCAAAGCATAAACTTACTGAACCAAAGCCCCTCCAAGCACATATCAAGAACATGGAAAAGTTTCGATGCATCCCCGGGTCTTTGGACAAAATCAGGAGCGAACCCGAAGCATAAATTGCAGATTATATCGGTCTAGTTAGGAATCTTTTAATCAGGAACGATCGATAGCTAACGCAAGAAGACAAAGGTCTCATGGGATAAATACCGATATACTGCGAAATGTATGGAACAGGTCGATATCTTCGCCTCTTTCAGAGTGGATTACAAGTCGATCGGAAGCGTGCTTAGCGGTGGAATAAGCCTTCTCCACCATTGACCCCCAGTCTCGCGGGGCGACGATTGCATTTGCTTTACTCCGCATAGATCGGGCAGAGTTGGTGTCAGCGCTCAAGATTGAATTCACCCCTAGCTTAGAATAGAAGCCCGGGTCTTTGTCAAATCCCGGACCAACATTGTAGATCCTATGTCATCTTTAGTTTCTGCAGCGAGACAGCACATAACCTCAACACTCAACTTGAAATAGAACTCGGGGTCCTTGATGTGGACGTGGTTTGGAGAAATGCGAACAATATCAGTATCTACGAAGTTAGTTGCTAAGCCTCATGGTCGTGAAATCATACTCACTATATTCGCGATGAAGTCTGTCAATAGCTCGAGCAGCGTCCCCATCACGAACAACATCTTGCCACATCTGCCACAGACTAGAGACAGCTGCTAGCCGTGGTCCAGGAACCGAAGAAAGGGGATGAAACCACCATCGCCATGCCAAAATTTGCAGTAATCGAGCGATCAAAATAGTGCCCGTAGTGTAGAAGAACAAATTAGGAGAAAGGGTGATGGAATCCAAACTCTTGCCAAGATACCCATCGAACATGTTGCTTGGCGAATGGAGTGGTCACAATTTCGAAACGCAGGGTCTACGATTTGGGCGGGCGGGGGCCTTCTACTGAGTAATGGCAAAATTCTCTGCGTGATGACTATTTAACCAAATTGAAAACGCGCACGCTCCTTGCGTTCTCAGCCCGGACATTTGCAGAATATAGACTAGTGGCCTGCAGGTGAGTATGGGTCATATCACGATCGTGCGTGAGCGTCCCGCGCGGTGTGGGCACCTCTCCACATTGGTCTGATCGTCAGCTCCACCTTGACAGCGCTGTGAACATTGAATGAGTAAAAGACATAGCCTCGAAGAATAGGATACTCTTGCACCCGAAGAAATTGAATATTCGAGTGAACCTTGTACTACTAGTAGCTCTTGGCCCGCGGGAATATGGTCCTGTCTTGGAAGTATCGATCTCCATTTCAATGAGATATCTATCTTTTTTTCTGGGATGAAAATCCGACTCGTCGCAACTTCTAATATCTCTCTTTCATTGACACCGGCGCACCATGGCGTATAACCTTTTGAAATCCTTGTAATAGTACTATGAAGCTCATGCGGATCAGGAACCATGCCGAACTAGTTTTTGCATAAATAGTGAACTATGTTAGAGAAACTAGAACACATGTTTTTAAAAAAGAGAAATAATTCACCATGGACATCAAATCACTAGGTACCTAAGTCCGCAATCTTGCGGCCATGGAAATAATCTGCTATGCATAACTGCGGTTTTGCCGCAGCCTAATAATATTGTCGGTCAGACTTCGCACCAATGATCACCTGGCGTTCAATACCTATTATCATCATCAAACAAAACATCACAGGTGCTTTTTCAAGCACCTCGGCATTACGATCAAGCTTTTAAGACGAAGGATGCTAACCGAGACGCAGATTCCTTGATTTGCTGTTGGTCCGCAGCAGCCATGCGGACCATCGCCAAGCTCGAGCTCCCGGGAAGATTAGAAGCCCATGTAAGAGTACGAAAGACCCGTCCTAGAATTCTTGTTTGGAATGTCCCCGGAACTCGCTCTAGGGGCATTTTGGACCGAATGAGTATAGTTGAGACTCCGATAGACCCCGACGTTCGAAATGACCTTCAAGACAGCCCATGCTCCATCCTCCGGTCTTGACTACCGCACGGTAGCATGTTATATTCCAAGTTACCATTTAATATTATTAGTGTTCCGGTCAAATCAGCTCATCTTCAGCATCATGATATTATCCCCTGATAATTAGCGAAAACTACTAGTAGTCTTAGACATCGGGAGAACATATTCAGCCCAACCCAGTACAACCCAATCGAGAATATTTTTAGGTCAAATTCTCACCTGGGCATGACTAAATAGTACCTAGGTATCGCATTTTTCGCAAGCAAAGGTATTGGTGACGGCCATGATAGTAATAATGGTGAAAACTTTAGATAATATCCTACCAAAAGGGAATACTGCTAGAAAAACACCACCAAAATTGTATGAATCACCTGGTATGATCTACCTAGTACTAGTACCTAGGATTACACACTTTCGGTCATCAAAGAGCTTTATAGATTGGTCAAGGAGGAGCTCGAGACCCTGGAACGAACGAGAGACGAAGACAAAGAATTGGATATTGTGGCGGGTGCTGCACTAACTAAAGTTTTAATCTTGAATCTATGATTCAAAGATCAATCTCGCTAGCTGGACGAGCAATATTCAATCTCCAATGGTGCTGATTGACCGGGTTCTTTTGGTACAGATTGACTTCGAAGAACTTGTTGTGCGTTGTGCATTTGAAGTTTTTGTACCTATGTCAAATGAGATCGCTGTGCTTTAACGGATGCCAGATATTCATTGAACATACGAATTGAGTTTCTGGAAGTTCCCAGTGATCAAATCTTGCTCGGTAATTTCCACGAACTCAATCTGACTGCCACCTGCTTTGCAATGAGGAATGAAGTATCTTTTGGCCTCGATAGCACCGAAATTGACTTGCCGAACAAACTGTACCGCGTAAGGTGGCAGGTTATTAGGGTCCTGGAAGAAAGAGGCTGAATCGGCAGAGGGGGATGATTCAGATCCTTTGGCCCAAATAATGAAAGGGTCAAACTTGGCTTCGTGTGATAGATAAGCCGGTCGGTAAGGAGAAGGAGAAGAGCAGCAAAAGATGGATGACATTGTTAGAGAGTGGTTCCTTTGCTGTTACTATTGTCTTGGTCTTTGAAATGGTCATGCATTTCTGCTTGGGAGAAATGATCGTCTTTATACTAGTATGCTCTTCGGGTCAGTTTCATTGACTTCGACACCAATTCCTCCTTATTCCAGGGAGCTTGGCTTTGTCGAGAATCATAGCAAGCTAGCAAGACAGATAATAACGGCCATGTGCATATTCTAGCCCGAAAAATTTCAGGTGATTTCGTATTCCACAGGTCGATCGTTCAATTATGATGCTTCATTGTGAGGCCCCCTTCTGATCGGCTCTGCCGATACCCAATTCACATCTCTTCTAACTCGAGATTTCTAGACTGGTAGTGGAATTGCAGCTTGATAGTCCGGCTGGCTTGCGAAATGGTCGGTCCTCGCCAATCAGAAGACTGCACTTTGAGGCCCCCCCTCGCACGGTCCCACTGCTGACCGAGACCATCTTGGGGTTGTTACTAGAGGTACGGAGTACATACTCAAGACTAGGGAATCAATTTCAAACTGCAATTCGAAAAGCATAAAGAGCTGACAATTCCCTATTATGTTTTTTTCTTCTTCTTCTTTCTTTCCCAGGGGCAGCTGGCCTGTCATTATCGCTCTTTATTTTACCTGCTGCCACTGTCATTCCTTTTCCGCGCCTTTGAATTTACTTTTCACTACTTCTTCCATCATTCATTAAAACGAGGATTGCTTTCTATGTTGCTTTAATTGAGGGGCTGGGCTTCCAGTCTGTCCCCTCTATAATATCCAATCTGTGATCAGTCTGAATTCTCGGGGTTTACAACGGTGAAGCTACTTTCATCTTTTTCCGCAGCGAAGACACATACCAGAAGCCCCACCTAAAGTCACCGACCGACAGTCCAATCTTCTTGAACATCAACAACAACAATTTTTGAATGATGGACTTGTCGTTCCAGCGTGGCTACACGTGTCGGACAATCTTGGTCCCCGTGCATTTTCCGTGTCAAGTTCTCAACCCCGGGTTCCTGATACCACAAGATATGATGGAAAGCAACATCAGCAGCAAATCGCTTTACAACCCACAGAAGAATATTTTCAAGATGAGCAAATTGAAGAAGAAGGTTGTGTTTCCGGCGTGGTTTCTATCTCATCAAAATCTCAGGGACATACCCTATCTTCCATGACAGCCAACGTCTCTTCGCTACAATGTGAGGACTGCCAAAAAGAATTTCGAAGCCCAGGACTGCTAAAGTAAGAAGCTTCATTCTCTCTTGGGATATCTTATTTTGCACTTGATTATTCTAATACTCAAGCAGCAAGCATATAAAAACACATACACGTCCCTACAAGTGTTCTATGAACGCATGCACCATGCAGTTTGCAACCCAAAGGGACCTCACGCGACACATGCAATCAGTTCATGACAGCCGAGAACTCACTGGTAGTGCGACAATCTGTGTCTGTCCTCATGCTCGTTGCGACTATTCTGCGAACGGAAGAAAAGATAATCTCCGGCGCCATATTAAAGCCAAGCACCGACTAGAGACTGGATTTGGATACTTAGGTCAGCCCCGCAATTGAGTTTTATATGAGTACAGTACCCAGTCTAGATAATTGTAGTTCTGGTAAATGACTACACTTGGCTCGGGGGACCTCGGGGGTATACTCAATTCAATTCAAGTAGTAAGACCGGGGTCGTCCAAGGGGCTCTACTACCTACCGTAACCTAGGTAATGTCCTCGAGCAGGTATAACTATAGGGGCCCATTTTCTATCCACATCGGCTACTAGTACCAGTGGGCGGCGGACCCATGGAATGGAAGAGGCAAAGCCTTCAGAAAGGATAATTAGAGCCAAAGACGAGCCAGGATAACTAGGTTATACATACTAGTAGTAACTAGATAATTTCCCCTAAAAAATACCTATGGTAGTTCATTAGTCGCCGGATTCGAGGTCAGAGGTTCAGGGTAAGCTTGAAGGCGGCCGAGTGACGTTGAAATTCACCGCACCTCGCCTTCCCTTCACCTTCACCTCTCACATTCGACCAACTTCAACTGCCCTCCTCCCATTCCACCTGGCCAACAACATGGCTGCTCCCGTGCCTTTTGATCGCGTCCCACCAACGACAACCGCCTACGTGATCGCGACCGGCATCATCGCCGGCGTCGTTGGATATTTCATTGGCCAAGGCTCCTCGCTCGGCTTGTTCCACGAGAAAAAAAGTTGGCCCAACAGCTACGACGTTAAGGTGCACCGCGACTCCTCGGACGAGGAAGACGAAGAATCAGAAGACGATAGCGAAGATGAAGGCAATGGCGAGGAGCTGGCACAGTTCAAGGATAACGCTGAGGAGGTGAAAATGGTGCTGGTCATTCGGACAGACCTGGGCATGACCAAGGGTATGTGAGAATTGGCCGACTCTGCCACGCAGAACTGCCGCAACGACTCAATGAGACCATCTTTCTAACCTCTGTTCTACTTCTCTCTAGGCAAGATGGCCGCGCAAGCCTCTCATGCCTCCCTTTCCTGCTACAAATATTCCAAAGAGTACCAACCCGACTCCCCGATCCTGTCGCGCTGGGAACACGGCGGCCAAGCGAAGATCGCGCTACAAATCAAGGGAGAGGAGGAGCTACTGCTACTACAGGCACAGGCTATGAGTCTGGGTCTCTGCGCGCGCGTAATTCAGGATGCTGGTCGCACGCAGATTGCTGCTGGTAGCCGGACTGTGCTGGGTATCCTGGGACCGAAGAGCGTCGTGGACGGCGTGACAGGCCACCTGAAGCTTCTGTGAATACACAATTTTCTGCTGTGATTTATGCAGGAAGCCATGGTTGCTATATTTCCTGGCGTCCCTATCTGTTAGAAAATAATGATCATGATGTCGATGACAAGCAATGAGACGCTTGCGTGTAGCCAAGTGTGTCACGCATATATTTTACAACTTGAGCTAGCTCTTCAACGGGAGCAGAGGCCATTTAGTATATTTGCACTGGCAACACGATCCCTATCTAGGTAGCACAGAAGAATTTGCGCCATAAGGTTCCTAGGCCCGGAGTGTAATACTATGTCCACCTAGGCAGCGACTACTCGGGGATCTGTTTTGTGGTTGTCCTAGTATATCGCGGACTAATAATTTATGCGCTCTAAATGGTTTTGACGACTTGTCATTATGCATCCTTGATACTAGTAAGCGATCTTTACTAGCGCCTCCATTCTAGCGCCTCCATTGACGACTTTGCGTTCTGATCGACGCTTCTTGTCTTCAAGTTGCGCTCTTACCAGGCGGCTCTTTGGTATGCGTCAAGAACTTCACGTTCAATTGACGCTTTTTACTTGGCTCTCTGAATTTGCCAGGACAACTTGACGTTCAATCGACGCTTCGTCTTCATCACCCTCGTGCCATAATCCATGGGGACGCCTTTGCAATCTCCAAGGCTGAATGATGATTCATGTTTGACACCCACCACATCCATGGGAAAGGATAACTTCGCGCTCTCATCAGACGCTGGTAGCCTTTTGCACCCTCATACTAATCTGCGAGGACGACTGTGCGCTGCGAACAGACACATTTTGGTATGCGCTCTAAACGGGCGACTTTTGGTTGGCTCTTTTGAGAGCATGGAGGGGAGGATTTTCTTTCCCTACGACAAAAATTCTATCTAAATGGGGGGTATGTTGGCAAGTCATGGTTTTTCCCTAACCTCAGTAGCCAATGGCCAGTCGGCAAAGGGACATGAAATATGACGCCGTCTACCACCAGGCTTTCAAGCCGAGCTCACCAAGGCGGGAGCTCAAGACCCAAAGGGGACCCAGGGAGAACATTAATCTGGGACCTGTCGACAGGACACCGTTAAGTGCCATACACGTGAAAAAGTATGGCTCCGAAATCGTCGAACTGCCCAGCGCTCAACCGAAACACAGATGTGAACGGGAGTGCTGGACACAGATCCGCTTGAAGAAGAAGAAGAAGAGAGGAAGAAGCGGATGTTCGTTCGCTTTTTATGAAGATTTTGTGCCGCTAACCGAAGGCGGTTAGTCTCGGTTAGTCACGTGTCACCGCGCATCAAGGCCGCTGGACTGGACTCTCCGGAGACGCTCGCCGCTAGATCTCCTTGGATCTCGCCTGTCACTCTTACCTACGCCCCTACCCTCTCTCACCATGGCGGACGCTCTATCGATCGAGCAGAACAACAAAATCCGAGTGGCACTCGGCCTGAAGCCACTTCCCGTCCCCGGCGCCGGTCCATCCTTCAAGGAAGCCGATAGCGATAGCGACAGCGGTTCCGAATCCGAGGAAGAGCCTGCGAGCACAGTTGAGACTCGACAAGCACAGGGCTATGACAACTGGAAGAAGCTGCAGGATGATGCCGAAGCGAAAAAGAAGCGAGAGGCGAGGAGCGCTGCCATCAAAAAGGCTCGTGATGCGGCTCAGCGAAATCTACAGCTGGAGGGCAGCACCCTTGGAGAGGCCGATGGTGAGCTCGACACCAAGTCTTGGTTGATGCAGTCGAAGAAGCGCACCAAGAAGATTGAGAAAGAGCGCGCGCGCAAGCTCGCCGAAGAGTTGGAAGAACGGGAACGCGCTGCTGCGGTTCAGTACACGGCTGCAGATCTTGCCGGTGTCAAGGTCGGGCATGCTGTCAACGATTTTGAAGGAGGCGAAGACCATATCCTGACATTGAAGGATGCGGCTGTGGACGACGATGAAGAGGGCGACGAGCTTCAGGATGTCAACTTGGTCGATAAGGAAAAAACCCACGAGAGACTAGAACTGAAGAAGAACAAGCCCGTTTACGATCCTACCGCCGAAAACCAGGGTATCCTTTCACACTACGATGAAGAGATTGAAGGGAAAAAACGCAAAAGGTTTACACTCGATGCCAAGGGTTCAACCGAGGAGGAAAGAGAGGCCAAGCGACAAGAGGTTTCTGAACGACTGAAGAAGGGCGCCATCACTCTCGACCTCGAACCCGAAGTCCCGACATCGGATTATATGGATATCAGCGAAGTTAAGATCAAGAAGCCGAAAAAGAAGAAGAGCAAGACTACAAAACAAAGAGCCGTGATCGACGACGAAGACTTGTTTGGGGGAGCTGCGCCAGCAGGTGATTCATCTATGGATATCGACTCTACAAACGGAGTACCCGCTCCCGCCCTACGAAAGGTGTTCGACCAGAATGTCTCCTTCGTGGATGATGATGATCTACAAGCCTCTCTCGCGGCTACACGACGCGCCGCTTTTAAGAAACGCAAGAAGATGCGCCCCGAAGATATCGCCCGACAGCTTCGCGAGGAAGAATCTCAAACTCCCATGGATATGGAAACTCCAGAGGAAGCTACCGATGAGCCCGGTCTGGTCATTGACGAAACCTCTGAATTCGTCTCCAATCTTCACAAATCCACCATTCCCGAACGGGAAGAGCGACGAGCAGAGCCCTCGACCGAAAAGCCTACCGAAAAACCTACCGAGGAGCCCGTGGAAGAAACCGAAGATGTGGATATGGAGCGATCATACAACGACGTTGAGGACGATGAGGATCTTGCTGCGCGCCTCCAGCGAGAGAAATCCCAAGAGAATAAGCAGGAACTCACTGGCACCGGTTTAGAAGAAGAAGCTACACTGGACCAGGGTCTAGGATCTACATTGTCCATGCTACGACAGCGAGGTCTGGTCAAGGAAACAGACAGCGGATCTAGTAACGCTCTGACGCGTGACCGACAACGTTTCCTGGCAGACAAGGCCAATCGTGAGGTCGATGCTGATCGCCGCGCCAGAACACAGCGTGAACGTGACCGTGCTTCCGGCAAATTGGACCGTATGTCTGCGCGCGAGCGTGAAGAATACGCTCGCTACGAGAACAAGCAACGCGACCAACAAGAGGCGCGTGAAATGGCGCAAGTCTTCAACCGCGAGTACAAGCCCGATGTGCAATTGAAGTATGTGGACGAGCACGGGCGATCGATGAACCAAAAGGAGGCATTCAAGCACCTCAGTCACCAGTTCCACGGCAAGGGTAGCGGCAAGATGAAGACGGAGAAGCGATTGAAGAAGATCGAGGAGGAAAAGAAGCGCGAGGCGATGAGTGCACTAGACAGCAGTCAACACACCGGCATGAACAACGCGATGGAGGAGACAGCGCGCAAGAAGCGCCAAGCTGGAGTGCGACTAGGATGAGGTGGAGCCAACTGGTCAGAACAGAGAATGTTTTTTTGTTTTGACGTAAATAGAGCCGCGAGCTATCACTACTACATCTCACTGTCATGGTACGGAGTACGGAACCATGGGGTAGGTCAGTAATGAAGATTAGATCAGATCAGATCGCGCTACGATATCCCCCTAATGGAATTGGAACCCCCTTTCTCAAGTTCAACCAAAGAACCCGCACCTCTGCTAGGTACTAGCTGTATTCGTCATGTCCTCCCGAGTCTCCCGATTGTCCCGATGGACCCGAGAGGCTTAGGGTACCTCCGCGTCGCGACGTAATAGAAATTTCTCCAGGCCACTCCAGATTGTCTCCGCGTGTGGGGATGCACGGGTATTTAGGGTTAATTGAAACGAAACCTCTTTTTCTGGGTCAAGGGAGTATTGTGTACTCCGTATGTATGTATCCTTCTGCACTTATTGCTTTTTTTTTCACCTCCCTTTTCAATTTAACCGAGACCGTGCCCGACTCGGTGAGTGTGTATTTATTCCTACTGGATGATATGGCATGACCGGGGTTTCGCTTTACCCCAACTGCGTGAGGGGAAAGAGCGCGCCCGGTGGAGAAACGGCCAGAACAGCTCACCGGGGCAGGCCCTCCCGAGTCGCGCAATGTCGGGTTGTTCAGTTGGTTCAAGTTGTCGTCACTGTTCAAGTTCCAACCTTGGGTTGTGTTGTATACTCTGATGCCAGTAAACATAAACAAGGACTAGCTACTAGTATAGCTAGATATATCAATAAACACTGCCATGCGGACCTGTGCATACTCATCATACACGGTATCAACCTTGGAATAGCAGTTATAATGAAAGGTAGTATTCTGTTTACATCCAAGCACAGACAACTTGAAGATCCCCCTTGTGGTCGCTGATCTCTCCGGAGGGTACTGTATGTATGTATTGTGTAGGTAACTATTCGGGATGTACCGGGTACTCTATTGGCGGTGTATTTCCCCACACAAATGCAAGTCACGGGTACCTACCCAAAGTACCTTCGATATCACATGAGTCAAGCCATTCGCAGCATCTCCGACTTTCGTCCTTTTCTTCCCCGACTTTCCCCTTCCCCTACTTTTTGGGACTTCCCTTCCGTACCATCTCTCTTTCCATCTTCATCATCACACACAATGCTCTCCACTCTGCGTGTTGCCAGCCGTTCGGCTGCTGCCCGTGAAGCTAACTTCGTTGTTCTCGGTGCTAGACAAGCCTCGGCCTGGTCCAAGGTTCCCCAGGGCCCTCCCGTAAGCTTGAAATTCCGAATCCAGATCGCTGGAAAATGCCATTGCCATCTTCAATGCTAACTTCACATCCTCAAAATAGGATGCCATCCTAGGTATCACCGAGGCCTTCAAGGCCGACTCTTTCAAGGAGAAGATCAACCTGGGTGTGGGTGCTTACCGTATGTCATAACCCTCTCGCGCGCGTCCAAAACAAGCTCATTTTCATCCAATTCTTCATTTCAATCAATTGCTAACCGCCCTGCTTTTTTCCAGGTGACGACCAGGGCAAGCCCTACGTTCTTCCCTCCGTTCGCGCCGCTGAGGACAAGGTCGTCGCCTCGCGCAGCGACAAGGAGTATGCCGGCATCACCGGTATCCCTGCCTTCACCAACGCCGCTGCCGAGCTGGCCTACGGTGCCGGCTCCGCCGTTATCAAGGATGATCGTCTCGTCATCACCCAGACCATCTCCGGTACCGGTGCTCTCCGCATTGGTGGTGCTTTCCTCGAGCGCTTCTACCCTGGCGCGAAGAAGGTCTACCTGCCCAACCCCAGCTGGGCCAACCACAACGCCGTTTTCAAGGACTCCGGCCTCGAGGTCGAGAAGTACCGCTACTACAACAAGGACACCATCGGTCTGGACTTTGAGGGTCTCATCGAGGACATCAAGGCCGCCCCCGAGGGCAGCATCATTCTGCTGCACGCCTGTGCTCACAACCCCACCGGTGTTGACCCCACCCAGGCCCAATGGCGCCAGATCAGCGATGTCATGAAGTCGAAGGGTCACTTCGCTTTCTTCGACATGGCCTACCAGGGCTTCGCCAGCGGTAACGCTGACACTGATGCCTTTGCTCCTCGCCACTTCGTTGCCGAGGGCCACAACATCGCTCTGTGCCAGAGTTTCGCCAAGAACATGGTACGTCTCATTCAGAGAGGAATTCATCAAGCCAAGCCGAGCTGGTAACGCTAACAATCGAACAGGGTCTCTACGGTGAGCGTGTCGGAGCCTTCTCCCTCGTCTGCGAGAATGCCGAGGAGCGGAAGCGCGTCGAGTCTCAGATCAAGATTCTCATCCGCCCCTTCTACTCCAACCCCCCCCATCCACGGTGCCCGCGTCGCCTCCGCCATCATGAACGACTCCGCCCTGAACAAGCAGTGGCTCGGTGAGGTCAAGGGCATGGCCGACCGCATCATCGAGATGCGCTCGCTCCTCCGTACCAACCTCGAGAAGCTCGGCAGCAAGCACGACTGGTCCCACATCACCAGCCAGATCGGCATGTTCGCTTTCACTGGTCTGAAGCCCGAGCAGATGGATGCTCTGGCCAAGGAGCACTCCGTCTACGCTACCAAGGACGGCCGTATTTCCGTCGCTGGTATCACCACCGGCAACGTTCAGCGTCTGGCCGAGTCCATTTTCAAGGTTACCGGTTAAACGGGTTGACTGGATATGGAAATCAAACTTTGAACGAGGTACACGGTGGAATTGGATACGAACAAAACGGAATTGGAATGGGAATCGAATCGAATCGGGCACCAGAAGCACGCACCTTTGATCGCGCGGCTCTTGGGTTTTCGCGGCCCTTGTACTGATATCTAATGTCTCTGTGTTTTATATTAGCATGGCTTGGCTTTGTCCATCTCAACGGAGATTTTGGATTCATCGCACCTTTTTTTTCCCTGTAGAAGATTTGGTAAATGTAGACGATGCGAATACTGAGCTGGACTCCCTCTAACCACTTGAACTTGAGGTCAGTGATCAACGAGATGGTCGCTGGCACGGGCAGAGTTAACCCTAGCCGTCTCCATTGCAGACTGGCAGACCAGATCATCCACTCAAATACATGAAACGACCAGGAGAATTCCAAGATGACTCACCATGTTGCAATATTACCCTTCCGAGGCACTGGTCGCAACTTGAATATCTACCTCAAATGGTAGGCTAGCTCCGTTTCTCACATCAAACGGACTGGATAACATCTCATTCTGGAAACTACATAGGCTTGGCATACTATCTTTCTCCCCCACAAACCGTGACGCTGTCCTGCTCCAAGCAATTTAAGCTTTTAGAGGATACCTCCTAGTAGGTCTTGAACTATGCAATGTGTCCATTCGAAGATCCAATTGGTGCTCTCTGTTCCAAAGTTCATGATTCACGTTTATAGCGAATGCTCTGAAATCTAGTTAAATATGGACACTATCCAGTATCATTTCCTCATAGTCCCAACGTTGGAAGGTTGTTGCCTTATCAGAACTATCCAAGCTCGTCAATTCTCGCTGTTTCGCAAGGGATAATATTTGGTGTGTTTCAAAAATGGCCTTATCGTTTGGAAAGATCGGGAAGTCTTCAAGTCGAAACAGTGGCTTTGGATGGAAAATTGGGATGCATGGCCCAAAATTGCGAGAAAGAGACGTCTCCCTCGTTAAATGGGGGTGTGATTGTTCCGATTTTTCTTTTTCATCATCTTCTTCTCCATGCTTCGATTTCCATTCCGCTCATCTCATTGTCAACCTCGAAGAGAATGACTGCTTACCAAAGGCTTCGACAAAGGGATTGATCTTCAGCTGGGTCGCTATGGAAAACGAAAAGCCCGTCAAAAAAGGCGTGGTAGCTCATGTTAGCCCTTTCAACTACGCGAAAGACCTTCAGACGGGAGATTCATATGAATACTTGGGACGGACCAGGTTCATGAATGACAAGATTCAAGTGCTTAGTGAGTTTTTCTCGTACTAGTAATTATCATCTAGAATTACTACATAAAGTGTTCCAAGTCTTATTTATTCCTACAGTGAACGAGTTCGGCCAAAAGTACGACATTGTACTTGACAATTGTCAGATGGTCACTTGTAAAGTAGCAGAAGCAATCCTTCGTGGTGTAAGGAGAAAAGAACTTGAAGCCGGTGTATCTAAGGGCGTGACATACGGACAAGAAGCATTTCAGGAGAGTTCAAGGATTCAGACACGGATAGCAGTGCTGGGAATGTCAGCTCTGGGAATTTGAACCACAAGGTCATCGCACGACCGAAACACTTTATTCTATGGATCGAAAGGCTAGTAGTACATTATAGGTATATAGTTGCGTCAATCAAACTCGCAAGGCACCGATTAGATCTCCATCTGGGGCCGGGAATATCCGAGCCAGCTCTGTGGTGATCTGAATCACTTCGTTTGACAACTGGCGGCTCATAATGACTGTCCCATGTTAGCACGACTGGACCTGTCAAAGGGCATTGCCAAAAACATAGCGGTGGGAACTTACTATAAGCGTAAAGCAAGACGTAGTCTTCATCATTTGTCGCGCCAGACACGCGCTTATCTTGACGATATCGAGAAATATGGGCGAGAAGTTCATCACGGGGACGGTCAACGTTTGTAGGGAAATCGCTGAATGTGTGTCCGACCTCCACAGCCGCTGCTATGGCTGTAGTAGTCATGCGTTAGCGAAAAATAATACTCATGTAACATTGGAGCCGACAGCGTCGGTTTGAAACTTACTGGTTAGTAAATTGGCGATACAATCAGACATTCTCTGTCTAGCAGTGGTAGTATGTTGCAGAAGTAAAAGCTGCCCTTCTGAAGGCGCACCTAGCCCAGACAGGACCAGGTCCATGGAATGGAAAATGTCCACAATATCTCGCGTCCGACGAATCACGCTACCGTAGGCAGAGTCTGGAAACGGCTCTTTCAATTCAATTTCAGAACGTGCGGATATTTGCATGGGCTCAAGCTGAGAGAGAAGGTGTTCGACCTCGGCTTTATCGTGAGGATTCATATAAAGAACAGTCATGTTTGCCTCTTCCCTGGATATGGTGTTCAAAGGGTCAGATTCCCAAATGAATGCTAATCTGAGCCAGAGCGATTGTAGGGTTTCGTCTAGCTTCGTTCGTGCGCGAATGGGCCATATGCCTCGTGTAATGACGATACCCCAAACATTGCCCGCAATGACGGAGACGACTCGGCGGAGAACGATCGAGGTGATATCGAGATGTTCGGCTTCGTCATCAGTATCAATTTGGGACTGTGAGAAAGCGTAGAGTACAGAGAGGTTGTAGGTTAGTAGGATAAATCGACCCATAGGCCCCTGACCCTTGACAATAATCAAGTAGAAGGGGCCGATCCCAACGACAAGGCCCGTAAGTACAAGCTTAAAAGCATCGCCGCCCGCGAGATACCAAGCAGCGAGCGAACAAAGACCCCCGAGACATGTACCGAGGAAACGAGCAAACCCGGCGGTATTCGACGCCCCGATGGTCATGGAGCATACCAACATGTACGAGATGAGACCCCATTCTCCCCTCCATGATAGATAAAGTGGCCTTGTCACGGATATGAAGGAAGGCAAGGCATAAAGCGCCGCTCCAATGCCTACTTTCAGAGCAAACTTGATCTCATCCTTTCGTAGGAAATCAAACAATCTCACAGGGCCCTTACTTCCTCTTTGTTGATGTGTTCGTCCTCGGTGTGGGCCTTGTACCTGACCACTGGTATTGAGCGCTTGTAAAGAGCTTCGGTTGTCGCCGGCACGGCTGCGTCCCGACAGAGGCGCTAGCGAGACTCAAATTAGGGCCACTCTCCTCAAACAATTCCAAGTAAAAATCTATCCATATTCGCTTACCTTCATCTGAATCTTGTATGACTTGTTCTCGACGAGACGGCCACCATGAAAAACGTAGCCAGCTCCAAGACTTCCCGGCGGGTCTCTTATCAACCTCAAGCTGCAAATCCTCCAGCACCAACAACAGTGATCGCAGCTGCTCGCTCAGCTTGAGTAAACCAACGGAAAAATATTCACAATTAGCTAAAATTTCCTCCAGGCTGGCTTTGTCCACCTGGGTTGGAGATATCATCTGCCAATCTCGTCGAAGTGAATGAAAGGCAGCACGTTGAGATTCTCCGTATAAGTCTATTGCTTCATTGATACGGGAAATCACCTCTTCGCGTACTGAAAGACGTCGGTCAGGTGCGGGTCCAAAAGAAGCTTCCTCGAACGTTTCTTTCAGGGCAACAGCAAGCGATAACTACCAAGCATCTGTGAGCAAGAAGTCTGGATAGGGTTAGAGTAAATGATTGCACTTACGATAGACATCTCAAGACGAGATGTTAGTTGCCGGAAGATTTCAGCCGGAGACTGAATCGAAGGTGACTGTTGTCTAGTCTGTGAAGTCGAACTTGAAGATTCATTGTCGAGGTCTTGTGTATCTGCTGGCGGAACGACATCTGACTCGCTAGTCAATCTCGAATTTTCAGGTAGAGTAGGGATGTAAAGTTGGCCGCCCATTTTTGAAGGCTGCGACGGTTCTGGGTATTTAGCTGGTGCAAGTAATTCGGATTGCAAAGCTAGTACGCTACGCAGACCCCCCTAGGCCATGGGTAATATCTTGCATTAAATGCACAAGTTCTTCCTCGAGAGAATACTCTCGATTCGTCCCTGCCACATAGTGCTCGAGCTTTGTTTCGCCTAGTAGCTGCTTCAGGTGGCCGAAAGTCTTGTCGTGATGTGAAGAAAGATTGATGAAGTCGGCTGTTTTGAGCTCCCGGTCTGTCCCGCGAGAGGAAGCTTTCCGTGAGACTCATCAACATCATTGAAGTCGTACCCATCAAAGTAGAAAAGTCTCCGCGTAATTTATGTCGGGCAGAAACGGGCATTATGGTCAAAGACACGGCCGTTGAAATGCCAATACCCAAAAGCAGCATCCTGAGTATCTGGGAGATTTTTGTGAAGGAAAGATCGCCTGTTTGTATAGCACCTTCTTTCGTAATGACCAGAATCGAGGCCAAAGAAGCTAAGGAGCATGCGACGTTGACGAGCGGGTCTTGGAGTCTCTGCTTGATCCATCCAATGAACCCGAAACCACCCAGGACGAAGACGACCAGAACCACAGCATGCCCTATTTCAATCAAGTCATGCTTTCTATGAAAGACGATTGTCACCCACATGCTAGACAATGACAGGAACGTCGCAAAAAGAAATGCGACGCTGGCACATATCAGCGCCTTGTACATGCTGCCCTGCGATCTCGCTGGGTGGAAGTAGATGGTGATGGTCGCAACTAGATGTTTGCCATATTGCTGACCCAGAAGCTTCCCAATGAAGGGAATAAAGACAGCCAGAGAGGCGAGTAAATATGCAAGGCTACACTTGAAGATACTGACGCCATGCTCAGAGGTGATCAACGCCTGTGCCTTGCGCCACGTTCGTGAAAGTTGCCCTAGAAGTCGCCGGGGAAGCTGCTCCCGTTGTCCAAGATCCTCACTCATAAGAAAGGGCTGAAACTCATCCTGTTGATCATGATCGCCAAGGTGCATATTGATAGCTTCTCCTTCATGCAGGTTCGATAGCGGCATGGTCTGCCGCGACTCTGGAGCCTTGATGGTCAGTACCGTGAGGCATGGCTGGTGGATCGTACTCACTTCAAAGGCAGAATTTCCCTTAGATGACATGTAATTATTAGGAAAGCACCATCAACTTCCTCCTATCTCATAGATCATGATGCTTATGGTATCTCATCTCCATGTCATTGATGTCCATCTCCATGTTCATATCCATCTCCGCCCCCTCTTTTTGCCACCGCCTTTGTTATATGCACGTTTTTGGCGTGATAACGTCACTACACTATTCCTAATTGGGACATTGAACCATATCTGGAATAGTAAAATATCAACACCAGGAGAGTCTTGGGCTATACTCTAAGATGGAATGAATTGAGCTCCCGAAACATCTCGTATGTAATATGTGATATACTGCATTGTCAAGAAATCTTTTATTGCCACAGGAATCATGAATCCAGTCGACCGCTAACATGCTTGCAGACTCTCTTCATCTAAGGGCCCAGAGCAACTCGTCGTTCGTCCTTGAATCTCTTAAATTCAATCATTATAGACTGTCACTGCCCAATATTCTTTTTGTGCCGATCGAGTTATTTTGAGGCATGTTTAAAGGCCCGAGATAGTACCCACTGCCCTGCCCGATCGCTTGCAACAGTTCTTGAAGCAGGACTTGGCGCCATCACCATCCACCCAGCAGTGGTAGGTCGAGAGATGGGTGTTATAGTTGTCCAGTCCACAGTGTTTTCCGCAGTCATAGGTGGGAGCCACAGCACCGACGTGTGGTGTGTTTTCGCAGAAGTAGCCCGTGCTAGCCAGGGTTCCGAGAGGGAGGAGAAGCGTTGTAAGACTTTCGAGGAACTTCATATTGATGGGCGTCAGATTGTTTCTATAAGGCTGTCAGATATCTCCGTTTCTTTCTTCTGGCTGTTTTATTTTAAATTTCTTTGAGAGAAACTGACGGTGTGACTGGGTAGAGTAGTCTGCGTAGAGCAGGCGGAGCAGGTGGAAATGGTAGATCAAGCGGACAGTCTTGAAAGACAGAGAAGATTTTGCAGATTAAATTTGGAATACAGCTAATGTAAGACTTATATACCCTAATTCCACCAGCTCGTCTGGTCTTTCCAACTAGTAGTATCAAAAATTCGAATGAGCTTGTTACTTCGCGGAATGATACCCCATTCTTTTCCCGCAATTGCCAACCAGACCAATCGTATCTGTCTAGGAAACTTTAAATATGTCTATTTTCGGATTGTTCGTATTCCAATTATTGCTTGGCAGGGTAATTACATGTGCTTCAAAGGTCTCCAAATCCTACGAATGCCGACAGGATTCTGTGAGGACGAGGCCCGAGACGGACTTGAATTTGTACACGGTTGGTGATATTTTAAGATAAAAGGGTGTTTTCTAACTATTGATGACATTGCTGTCAAATAAATGAATCCATTTGAAGAGGTTTATACCCACCAGCTCGATGAGGCTCTCCTTGCCAAGACGAATACGATAGGGTGGGACCTACCCCTGGCCGATCTTGTCCTTGCGGAGTCAATACGAGATCGAGTCCTTCGTGTTCACAATACTACTCCGTAAAGCTCTTCTTATTAAGCTAGATTTGAATTTCGCCTAGCTGCTTAACAGGAACATTTGGGGAGACAATACTCCGTCGTGCAGCTCACAGATTAAAAACCCTGGAACCTGTATTTCCCTGTTCTTGACTCCGTATTGTTAAGTATACTATCCACATTAAGGGCTGGTGCCCAGGTGGCTTATTGCGAGACTAGATCCATATAGTTATACACTTCATCAAAGTCATATTGACGCAGAGTACCCATCCTCTCGATCTCTGCTCATCTTATGAACGTGACTATACTAAGATCTCGGATCACAGTATAGATTTTTTATCGACACCAGTGTCTTAAAGGCTTCCAAGCTCCTCTATTATCTTATCCCATGCCCGCGGTAGAAGAGTCCCCATAAGCCAGTGATTACCAACGTGGTCTTGACCGAGCATTGTGAAAAGGTTGAATCCTTTGTACGGCTCGCCCACATTTTCATAATAGTACATGAGCATCGTCCCTAGCGGATTCGTTCTGTTTTTTGAACGATCTCCCTGGCGCACGACAGCAGCCCCAAAGTCGACAGTTTGTATCAAGTCTGCCTTGACCATGTTGTTGAGAACTATCGGCAAAGCGTTCGCCTCTCCGAAGAGCACCCCGGGTTCTCTACCCGCGTCGATATCTTGGTAGCCGGTTCTCATAAAAGCACGAACCTGCTTCTCTGCGGCTTGTTCATTAAAGTGTTGGCGGTGACTAAGTGCAATGGGTCCAATCGGCCCTCTTGCTTCTTGCGACGAGAGAAATGTATAGGTTCCCAGTGTTAGATTTTGAAGAAAAACACCCGTTGAGTTGATAAACTCTGGAAGTCGAAAGCGGGCGTTTAAGAGACTCAGAATAGTAATTGGACGGGGTGTCGGTTCTGACAATGACACTGCTTGCGTTACCCACGCGATAAGTGCATCCCCGCTACTAAAGAACACTCCAGAATCACGACTTGAAGATGTATCGCGAATCTGTTCCTTCGCAAGATTCTTCATCCTGTCCAAGGAGATCTTCGGAAGAAAAATAACACGCCTTTCTCGAGGTGCGTCCCATGTATTGTTCCACAAGTACCGGGCTAAGAACTTGAAAAGACCCATTCCTTTTAGGCGCCTTTCTTCAAGCTTCAGCTCTTCCCAGCTCTCAGAATTCGATAAGACTGCTTCGCGAAGGGGATCCTTCCGTGCACCGCTGATAGTAGGAATATCTTCTTCTCGCCCAGCTAATACCGATGACCAGGCAGCGAGGAGAGCCTGGCCCCCAAATGCGTCCATCAACGCGTGGGGCCAGACCAGAGATACGAGGGTTGCATCTCGGAAAGAGGATATATGGAGAGATATTAATGGCAGTTTCTCCTGCACTAGCTGTTGGAAGGTCGGGAAGCTTTGCCGTGTAACAAATGGCTTGAAGTCTTCAGAGATTGGTTGGATTGATGGACCGGTAGTGTTTGTTGGGAATTGACAAGCCACTGGGTGGTTCTGAATATCCACATCGAAAGTCTGATGGGTGAAGAAAGTCTTTCTTGAATCTTCCCCTGAGGTATTCGGGACATAGACTTCTAGATTCCCGTTGTCCTAATTGACGTCAGAGGAACTCGCTCAAAGCAGGACATGCTCTTACCTTGAATCGCAGTCGACCGCCGAGTTTCTTCCAATCCCCAATTCCCAATAGCTTTAACAAAGCATTATTCAATTGTTTAGGGTCAAGAACATCATTAAATCTCATCAACCAGGATACGAAACAGTGGTTGGTCTTATTGCTGTCGAGTGGGTACAACGGGTAAATGTCCCCAGGGAGACCTGGCAGCTGTCTTTCGGCAGACATTCCCGAGGTCTTTTTGGCGAAGGGAGCGGGGGATGCTCAAAATGTGAGTGAGTCGCATTAACGTAAAGACATGACCCTTTTTTTTGTTAGAAAAACCAAGAGCAAACTTTGATGTGCCCAGATGATGGGTAACTCATTTCCACGGACTGGACGCAAGGCAGGTTCAAATTTCTTGCGCGACGATCCCCTCAATCAGGATTATTTCGGCCCCTAATTTGAGGCTTGTCTCCTCCCACCTTGAGTTTGGTGAAAGTTTCGTGAGAATAGCGTGTTTCACATGTTTTTGACTCTGAAGTGACTTCATCTAAGTCGAGACTTTGTTTTTCAGTGAGTCAATCGCACAAGTGCCGACCCGCCGAAGCTCATAGATGCCCTTAAAGGGGTGAAGGCGGAATAAACTTAGAATGTGATGTACCTGACGGGGTGCTAGCATTGTGGGGCTGGGTGCTGTGTGCTTAGTTTCAGGGCATGCTAGCCATTATGATACCTAAAATGCAGCTAACGTCTCACCTTTGCGACCAACGCTACAGATCAAGGGTCGGTCTTTTGGATAGGGAGTTTTGATAGCGATCGACACTTCCAAGATTGTAGCTCAAGCATGATGCGCTTTGATTGATGATTAGAAGTATGTAGCATCGAGTACTAGATAATTTTAAGAAAGAACTGTACGTAACAGAATAATATGCCCATCCAAGACGCCATAACACCATCCATACTGCCGTGTGCGGTACCTAAATCGAGTACATAAAGGAAAAATGGGCAACGCCTATAGGCCCCCCATCAGGCCACTGACGCCCATATCAGGCCCGCCGGTCGGAGCAAGAGAAGGACAGATACAGCCTGCCGGGATGTTGGGGTAGGACCAGCCTGGAGATGGGGATGGAGATGGAACAGAGCGGCCCATTGCGCGGGCGATGATGGTGGCCGGTGTTGTGCCTTGACTAGCGTGAAGAAGACCGAAACGGAGGAAAACTTCAGAGAGAGTTACGAGAATGGAGATGACAATGAGAACGATGACGACCCATGTTTGATCTGGATTTTTTTTGATGTTAGTGCTGTTTAGATGCATCGGTGAGTAATCAAGGGGCGGGGCGTACAAGATGTGCGGTTGTCAGCGATAGAGTCTGAAAGGATTTCTGCGAGATCGAGGAACACTCGGCAGCGTTCGTTTAGAACTTGGATTCGGGGTTTGATTTCGAGGTACTCGCGGACAGCAATGTAAAGGGGATAGAGTGTTGGCTCGCTTTCCCAGAAGAAATTTGGAACGTCGAGCATGTTTGATGCTGGAGACAATTAGTGATGAATGATAGTTATAGCATGCCGTGCCCACTTACAGAGATTGACCTCGACGCGGCTCTTGAACAGTCGGCCCAGAATCCGGAAGACCTCTTCACGCTTCATGCCGAGCTGGCCGGTCATAGCGAGTCTTCGTGGTACATCCTTCGCATCAGCCATTTGACGCGCCATGACCTCCTCAAAGAAACACAACTTGGTACTCTGAGAGATACCATGACTGATTGCTAGTTTGATCATGTGGTCACCACTGCGAAGTGTGATCATATCGTTGTAAACACGGGGCCGAGAGATCTCAGTCGAGTATTCGAAATGGAACTCCTCGGTCTCGAAATCCTCTTCGTGGAGAGGCATGGTCGTCAACGGGATAGGAGTACCAGTAGCCGAAGATGTAGCGAATGCCAGATCCGCTAGTAAATCCTTCTCCTGGCGCTCTGTAAAGTTCCAAAACACCACAACGCCGTAGCTGAAGACGAACATTTCGGCGACATTGTACAGGGTTCGCGCAGGACGATCAGGCATAGAGGACGATGAAGGTTTCACCGGGGAGGCTGAACGAGCTCTCATCAGAGCTTGGGTATCGTCGGAGCTATGTCTCCGACGACGAGGGCGAAGGTCCGGATTAGATTCTTCACTTGGTGTGCCATCCTGATCGGACGTACGATCTTGGATCCGCGCATCCTCCTCGGAAACCCGAGTCAAGAACTCATGATGTTCCTCTCTTGAGCTAGAACCCGGATCTTGCGGCGACGCTTCATGATGATGTTCCTCCTCTGGCCGATTGCGACCACCGACCGAATGCTCCTCTGCCTCCCCCATCCAATCATCATGATGATCTCTTTGCTCATTTCTTTCAATCTCCTCATCCAGCAGCGATTTGCCACCCGGGAATTTCAACACAGGGCTACTGCGCAACCGATATCCCTCATGGCCCGGCACAAGCGGCAGATGATACGCTGTGTACAAACAATCGTCATACAACTTTGTCCTCGCACCATGCCATTCCTTCACAAAAGAAGCAACAGACCCCATCCTGTATGCCTGCGCCGTACAATAGGCCGTAACCCGCGCAAGTTTCTCCGTCCGCCTAGCCTTAGGCAAGCGCTCCGCATAGCTCTTCGCGCGCTCAGCAGTTCGTCGCTTGCGAATGACCTCCTCATCCGCCCTTAGCGGCGCAACATCATTGTCGATCGAGAAGTCCCCAAAACTAAGCCGTTTCTGTGCAAGGAGAGCCTGCCTCACAGCCTCAGGCTCAACATGTTTATCACGCGCGATGCGCGCAACAAGCTCCTCATCCACTTGGTCTGCGTCATCACCCACCTGATCCTCATCCTCATCGTCCTCGCCGTCATCTGGCTCGCCTACTCCCCCGGTATCCGGCAACAGCACGAGCTTCTCACTAACTTTCGTCGTGCGTGGTGGGAGGCGCGGCTGGGCAGCGAGTCGGCTATTAGATGTTGCGGAAGTGCTCGCTCCGCCAATCAAGCCGGTGGCCGAGGCAAGTCGACGCGAGCGAGAAATTGGCGGCGGGTGCCGCTGCTGCATGGACGGGACGTCGGAGGCATACTGTAAGACATTGTCGACGGTGATGAAGCGAGTCGCGGGGGATCTTCGGCGTCGGGGGGTGGAGGCTGGTTGCTGATCGCGTGAGTCGGTTACCTATTGTTAATGGGGAAGGTACGTCAGCATATCTGTAAGGGATTTGGGGTTGGATGTTGGAGCTGAAGCTGCTGCGGCCGCTGCAGCGGCAGTAGCCCAGCAGCAGCAGTGAACGAGGATAATTGCTTTTCGCGGATACATACCAGAACGGTCGGGCTGCGCTGACTGGTTCCCCGGCCTCGGGCGGGGGGAGTCATTTCGAAGCGTCTTTTCCTGCCCAAGAGGATTGGACTCCAATTGTACGATACGTGGAGATAGAGGTCGACTTGGAGCTTGCGAGAGTATCCCACCGCCGTTGAACTGCTGCTGGCACAGAATCAAGCGCGCTAGACCAATTACGGACTAGCGAAGTCAACGGTGACGATGTAATTTATATTACGTATGCGTGTATCAGTACTGTATGGGTCCAATGGATCCCGTGACTATGCCACGTGTATAACTGCCAATGACAGCGTGAGGAGAGTGCCACCGGCCCACAATCAGCCCAGCGAACCAGAGATGCGCGAATCCGGGGTAGAATCCAGGCGGATCTTCGGCCAAGGAGCAAAGAGAGATATACATACAACTACAAGGGGTGGAACGGAATTTGACGTCAAGTCGATTTTTTTATTGCATGTCGTAGAGACTATGCGTATGAACCGGAAAGCATCACTTGGATGCAGCCGCAGGAAATGCAATTCTATTTGACAGATCATGGGAATGCAGATAAAAAATGTGCTGATGGGGTAGATAAACAAGGCATGCAGGTGAAGAGCAATGGAGAGATGAAGGCAGTAAAATATCAATAGGAACCCGAGCCGTAGAAAGACCGTAAAACCGTAAAACGCCGAATTGACCATCTGTCGAAAAGAACGGTTGACCTCGCCGTTTGAGGGGGACCAATTGGTCTTCATGCAAAAGGGGAAAGAAAAGAAAAGAAAAGGAGACAAAAATTCATGAGATGATACCTTCGTCGCAGAGACGTCGATCTTCATCCCAGATCTCCTGCTTCATTTGATGTAGTCGTTTGTGCTGTTTCTCTAGTTTGTCCACATCTCGTTGGGCGGGATGAACTTGCTTGGCCAGTGTCTCATGCAAGGTCAAGTACTTGGCATAGTACTCCTTGAACTTCTCCGATTTGTCCAGCAATCGTTTCCGAAGAACCTCCTGGGTCATAGATGGAGATGCACTTCCCGTGCTGCCGCTGGAGGTACTAACTGCGCGGCGCCGTTTGTGCTCAAGGTTGCCAGTGGTGATTGGATGCCCATCTCGCTCAGACTCGAGCCCAAGGTCTGGATCTGCCTTGCGTTTCCGGGGGTTTCCCGCAGGCAGGGTTTTACTTGCAGTCCTGCCGATGACAGGGCCTGAACGAGCTGGCTTGTTGCGGGTTGGGTCGAGAGACGTAGGCTTAGTGGATGTTGGTCTGGCGGGAACGGGTTTGGGGGAGGGCTTTGGAGGCGCAGACTTAGCCGGGAGGGGCTGGGCCGAGGCTTTGGCTTGAACGGGCTTATGAGGACCACTGGCCGACACCGCAGGTTTTGATGGCGGACGTGCAGCTGTGCCGACAGCCTTGCTGTTGCGGGCAAGTTGGGAGATAAGAGGCGAGGATGAAGATGAACCCGATGACTGGTTTTGACTGTCGGAACGATTGCGACCGTGTGCATTTTCAGATACGCTTGTGGGAGGAGATGACCCCAGAGGGGATGGCTTTTGGGGCGAAGTAGAGGCTCGAGGGGCAGGCCGCTTAGAGGAAGTGGTAGGTTGAGATTGCTCGAGCTTCGGTGTGGATGTCTGCGCCTTGGAAACCTTAGGAGCAGAAGCGATGGTTTTGACAGGTTGGGGTTTGGCCGCAGGTTGAGTCTTTTTGATTGGAGCTGTGGCGAGTGCCTTTTTGCTTTCCTTCGGACGCGGAGCGGGAGGTGCTGCAGGCTGAGGTGAGGGGGCATCGAGCATATCGTCATCGTCATCGTCGGAAGAGTTGACGAACTCTGCCGATTTGAACTTGCCATCGGGCTTTGCAGGAGCAGGCTTGCTGACAGTCTTCTTTGTCACTCGCCCCGTCAGAGTGC